GCTAATATAAAACGAAAGGGGCTAGAATTGAGATTACAAGAAACTACTAGAACATTTTTTTCAGGGCAGAAAACATCCGTTAAAATTTTCTGCGAAAATTCAATACACTTTGGATATTTGTCTGAGCAATTTTCATCCAGGAAATTTTAAATGATTGACTGACTTTAGCAGAAACAATTTTGTCACTTTCTGTTTTAAATAAACAAACATTCAACACTCAATGTCCTTTGGGGCACTATCCACCATTTTTCCCAATTAAAATTCCAGAGCAAAAGGGAGGTAAATCTGGCGGTATAACCCGAGGAAGATATTTTAGGCGTGTTAGAAAATTATTATCGTTAAAGAGAGACACTAAAAATAAACTATTTATAAAAACCTTTAAGACCGTTTATTTTATGTACTGTGTTTATGTGTTTTTGTAAAATGTAAAACATATTTGGGAAACCACACATGCCGCCATAATAAAATCGTGAACTATAAAAATGGACGCGATTACCCACGGAATCCATTATAAGGTCTTTTTTATGTCTTCTCCAATAGGTTTAACATCTTCAAAAATTATTATAATTATTATTATTATTATTCGCGTTTCTAGAGATCTAAGTAGAATTTAGATTTACCTTTCAAAATTAATATTGATGTGTTATGTACATACACATTTTTTTATCCATGACTATATGTTGTATACACCGGGCCCTATTTTTCTTTTGTGTTGTAGAAATTCTGTTCTTCGTTCGTTATACCTGTGTCTTTTAAACGAACCAATTTGGTTGAATGCACCGTGTCGTTATAACAGATCTCAAGGCGGCTTCAAAACAATACACTGACACACCGACAACGGTAACCAAATAAATTGTTAAAAATAAAGAAAACTTACGGGCAAGCTCGCAAACTCACAAAAATTAGTATTTATTGATACCTCCAATCAAACAAAATAAGACCCCCAGTATCTCTGACGCAAATTATATAATGTTTTCAGGACGTTAATTGTCCTTTATTTATCTCTCCGGTCGCTAATTAGGTTCCCTTTTATTGCGCTTTGTATTTACTTCAACACGGTTCGAAGAATGTCGGAGACAATAACGATTCAAATTGGGCCATTTGGGGTAGAAACGTAGCCAACGCAAAGGACAAACGTGAACGAAAATTATAATTGAACAATAATTTTTTTCCATTATCCGGAAACGAATTGCATTAAAGAGAAATCAAGTTTTCTTCAATTCCATATAATGCGACCTGTGGTTAAAATGAAATTTATTATGAATTTCAATTTTTCACTGCAATAAAAAAGCTGTATGCATTTAATTTGTAGTAATGCTTCAAAATTACCAAAATTTTAGATAAGTAATTCCTCTAATACGCTTTTATTCCCTCTATTATGCTCTAATTCCCTATTATTTCCCTGAGTAATTCCGCTGATACCAATTCCGATTCTGATTTATTGAAAAGAAACTTAGGTATATAAAAATACTAAAAATTCATATCTGTCCAGTACTTCGAAATTTAGAAGTGTCCGAAATTGAAAGGTATAGTCCTACACACAATAAATGATCATGATTGTAATAATGCTATTACCGTTTTTATCTGCTCGTAAACATTTTTGGGCCAATAAATCAAACTGGTCCATGACTGATGTCTTATCACAGTTTTATAAAATTTAAATTCGTAGAAACAGTATGCGCAATTATCGGTCAATAAAGATAAAAATATAAATATTGTATAAATTTTACCTTAATATATAATTTTTTTTTATTTTAAAATTTCTACTACCATGTAATTTGTCAATTTCTATTAAAATAAAAATACCTCCCTTTATCGCTCGGTTTATTGAGGGTGATAATACGTCAGGCAAATCATAATAATTTATAGTGTACCTGGACTATACTAGGTAGGTATATGAAAACCTCGATAAAGATACCCCATTAAAAACACTAATTCCTCATTAGCCTTTAGTGTAAACAACTTATTTATTTTTTAAACGACTACAGGAGAAGTTTTGGTACATTATTTGTTTTATAAATAAAAACATAAATATTTTAAGTACATAAAGCCTAGCATGTTATAATCAGGTGTATACGGTGCTTATATCTAGAATCCTACTGAACTCATTCCTTGACTTGACTAACTCTAGAGATACCTCAATGAATACCACTAGTTCCTTTACCATTACCATTAATTCCCAAGATTTGATTTTAGCAGAATTTCATGGAATGAACGAAGGCATATAAAATGGAGTAATAATTTTATATTTTTATTTTACGAGTGACACGAGCTCTCGTTTAGCCGTTGAATCCTATGTAATCCGCAAATAGTAATGAAGATAATTATTGAACATCGGATAGTAAACGAATGTACCCGGTATAATTACAATGGAAATACGGCATCCAAATCCGATCAAATAGTTGGATAAAATCAAATCTGTGCATGATAATTTAGGTACAAATCTGCTTCGCGCATCCTTTATTACGGATTTGGCTTGTTCAATGCATATATTTCCTGCTCGCTGTAACGTCAGGCGTTTGCCATTTTATCGTTAAATTAATTACCATCAAAGTTAGGATTGATCCTGCTTACTTAAAACACATCATCAACGTCATAGCGGAGAAATATGCCGATTTCCAAAAAAATATATACGCATAAAATAGTTACAAGCCGGTCCCATTGGATAGTTTTAATTGCCTTACAATTTGTTAACGCTAACGTGATTCATAATGTCAATAAACTCTTTGCGCGCACACAAACGATTTGTTTTATGACGTTCTCCTTCTATGCGTTTCAATTTTACAATTTACGACATTTCGCGACAACTCGGTCGTGGTTTTATGGGCAGGAAGTCTCACGTTGGTACCGTGACCGTCGGAATCAGTTGGGTTCAGGGGTTAAACCGTTTTCGTCGAAGCAATTTTTAACTCATTAACCGAACCAATTTGGTTAAGACCCTCCTCTATATATACCTAAACCAAACGGAAAGAAAATGAGTTTTTAAGGCTCGTATCGGAGAAACGCGGGGATTGGAAAATCGCCGGTCGTGGGGATTGGGGGTTGGTTTTATGGAATACTAATTAAATTTTTGTTTGCGCGTGCTTTCGATGTAAAAACAGAAATGCGACTGGCACAAAATATGTTAGGGCAAGAAGACTCTTATGCGGAAATATAATATTTTAGCAAAAACACCGAAATTATCAGATGATTCATTGTGAATAATTGGATTGATGTGTGGTTGATTAGATTTTTAGACTTGTTCAGTGGATCGAAAATGTTTTCACTAGTACAATTTCCGCATTTAATTTAATTTAATTAATTTAATTTAATTTAATGGGTGTTTTGTTTTTTTTTTCTTTAAATTTGAATGGCTGCTAAGTTTAAACCGTGCGACTTCCACTTAGGGTAAATCTAGGCAACGAAATTTTCAGACCAATTCTTTAACACGCATTACAGAAAAAAAAACCTGCCTGCAAAAGTTGCGTTTTTTATTTAATATTTATGAAAATGTATTAATTTACAGGGGCGCTTAAATTGGGTATTAATATCAAATTTTTTAAACAAACCTTTGAATTTGGTATTCTGTTTTCTTCAGATAAGCACAAACATTTTAACGATTGATTTCGCCATGCGTAGTAACAGATCTTCGTCAAAATTGGACATCAGGCAACCTCTTTAAATCAGTTCTGATTGTAGTTAGTTGTAAATATAAAGTGTTTAACACAACAAAAATAAAAAAATCAAACTAGATTTAATTATAAGACATTTAATGGAGGGATTTTTTTATAAAAAAATTCATATAATAGCGGATATCCGAAAAAAATCTCGTAGATAGAAAAAAGAATATTGCATGACTTATTATTATTATCAAATTAATTGTTATTTTACTAGTAATATATACTTGATATACTTTCCAAACACGAGATGTACAAGTTGATGTTTTTTTCGGTTTCGCAGACCCAACGTTTATCTGCGAGTTCCAAAATCGAATCGCAAAACGAATTTTTTTAAACAATCATCAGTGGCGCGCTTTTGTTTAGCGCTTAATGTACCGTACATTTCCTGCGCTTAAAAAGGGGAGTTATTTCGCTCGGAAATCCATCGGCAATCGTAAAACTAATGAAAAATGATCTAGCCGGTAAATTCCAAATTGCTAGTCCAATTGTACTCGATATTTAACGCAGTTCAATTTTCATGTAAAAAAAAAACACATTTTTCGTTTATGTAGAAAAACAAAACCATGTTGTGGCGGTGTTTTTCGAGCCGATTATAAACAGAAAGAAACAGCGAAAACATAAACATTATCAATGAAATAATAGAAGGCAACGTGAGAGAATGTGAGAAAAGCAACGAGGTTTATTCAAGGACACTGTTTTAAAGCTCAGGTATAAAAAATTGGCAGAAAAGTGTTAGCAGCCCAGTGTCGACTGTCTGAACAGGTTGAACAGCAAAAATTACTTTGGCCGTTATCGAATAATGTATTATTCAAGAAATCATAGGGATAGAATAAGTAGTAAACTTCACTGAAATTTAGTCATTTTGTAAGAAACGATTCCAGAATAATATAATACTTAATAGAATTTGCCCCGCCTTTCGATCACTAAAATCATAACTTTGCAGGACACGCAACCTCGAATTTACATTTAAAAATTGCGAATGTAAACAGAAATTTATGGTTCTCGCGATTAATTCGCCACCCTTCGCATTGGGATGAAATATTATTGGTCGAATTAAAGCTACCAAAAATGTATATTTATGATTTATCGAGACGTAACAATTCGTTTTGCTGCCTCCATGATTCCGATCCCAGTTGATGGATAGTAATTAATAAAAATTTCAAAACCTTCTTTCAAAAAGTGCAAAATTAACCAGAAATATCATTACGCAAACAATTTTACGATCTACTTTAGATGTCAGACAAATCCTCAATTATTATAAATTAAATATTTTAAGAAAAAACGTTCAAAAAGTAAAATACGGAATGGCATGTGACTCACTAAGCTCTTATTTTGTTCCAGATATTTCAAGATCATTACTTTTTTACCCACAACGGTATATCGAAACGTTCACTAAGACCTAGTCCCGAGAAAAAGCTGCAACTGGCCGTCGACACTCGAGTTTCGTGGGCCCAGCAGCAAAAAGCGAAAAAACGAATCAAAAGGGACCTGAAATTACAGGATTCCGACCCGAAATGGCCAAATATGTGGTATTTGGTAAGTGCGCGTCTTATCTTTGCGTATATAATGTCAAGGTGTTTAGCAATTGCATGACAGGTATCTACCCATCGAGAACCATTTACTCCATATATGCGCCCTTTTGTTAAAAAACGTTTGCTCCCGGCCTGTATAATTTCGCTAGCAGTTTAAAAATGTCTCGGCCCAATTCAAACGTTTATGGCGATTTAAAAATCATAAAGCAGCCCTTGTTGTTCCGCACTGTCGGCCACGAATGCACCGTAGGTATTTAGTGACGCATCATGATGATTGGAGTGAAAGATAAAAGGCAAATAACGTAACGGGAAGATCAATAGCCGACGAAGGGAAATGTATCCGCTTATGACATCGTCAAATCTTTTACCATCCGGTTGTCAAATAACGGCCGATTTTTATTACGAGCGACATGGCGTTTGCCAGAAACGAGAAACCCCATTAACAAATTTATATTTTTCCTTTAAAATATGGACCGCTTCTTTCTTATACGCTTTGCTCGTATTTGGTCAACTTGGAGTGGTTCTAAAAGCATGAATTGTGGTTACAGAACAGGGGCGGAGGCTTGGACATGAATGTAATACCGGCATGGCTAGACGGAATCACCGGCAAAGGTGCCGTCGTCACCATTTTAGATGATGGTCTCGAAAAAGATCATCCAGATTTAGTGAAAAACTACGTGAGTATGTAATAATACTATTTACCAATCTTCTGGATTCCTCCTGCCTTGATTGTTGATGAGTCGAACTTGCTGACGTTTCGCCAATCATCATCCTATTGGCTTCTTCAGATTCAGGAAGAATCCAGAAAATTTGTAAATACTATTACGTGAGTACACTATTAATTTTCGCCGCAAATTACCCCTTTATTCCTACTGTAGTTGGCAATATGCTTTAGGTTAACCTCCTTCCGCAGTCTGTATTAAGCCAATCAGCGCCTTACGCTTCAATTATCAGCAAACTTGTTAATAGGATTACAGTTAACAACGACCAATTTCGGCAACTAAACCATTTCATCCTATTAAGAAAACAAGTTTCTTAAGTACGTATAGCGATTATTTTATGCTATTATTAACAATTAATACTCAAATAATGAAACAATAAATGTATTTCTTTCATTTGCACATACTGTGTGTACCGTGGGGGACGTGAAAAGAAAATAAACTTTCTGCAAGACGTAAACCTTCCGCACAATTTGCCCCAGCCTGAAGTTTTATTTATCCTGCAAGTATTTAGTTAACCCCCCTTAAGCATTTCGAGTTTCACGAGTTTCAGCTTCAATTGGTGGCGATGTATTCAGCCATTTTTGACTGTTCTGAGCTTGTAATTCTGCGTTTCATTGCAAACGCTATTAGATAATTAATTTCCGGTCTTTTGGTTATTCACACCTTACGATTTCCCATAGAAATAATTATTCATTAAGTGCAGCGTTGATTGAAGTAAATTTCTCATTATTCAAGAATTGAAATAATTGTTGGTAGAAAATTGCTTAACTTACGTTCTTATTGCTTAGATTTTAAAGCAAAACTTTCCGGTAAAGATCCGTCAACGCGAACGTATCACTTAACTCTAAATTTTGTGGCTTATTTATTTATTTATTTCTTAATCTAAGTCGATACGGTAAATGAACTTGTGGGTAGTCAAATGTTAAACGAAAATTAGGGTGTCGAAAATTTATGGTCTGAGAATTTTCTTCTCAACCTTTTAGATTCAAATCGAGACATTTTATTGAATACGTATTTCAAAACACTTTATAGTCAAAAATCGATTTAACGAATTAGACATGAAGAAATTCTGGAGCAGCTTATACTTAAGAATTGAACACCCTTGTAAAATCTTTGTTTATAGTTCGATTTTGATTTTTTTTCAATAGATCTTTCAAAAATCCACATTGCAGTGCATATTTAGCGTCAAAAAATAGTCCTACTTGGCCATGTATTAAAACATGATATCATTAACCAATAGTACTTCTCTCTTCTCTCTCTTTCGTTAAATAGTCTCAGTTGGCCATGACTCTAGGTTAAAGCTATAAGCAAAATAAAGTTTTCGTGCATTTTTGAGTGATCGATCCAACAAAAAAAAGTAAATAAAAAATGAACCATAAACCATAAAGATTTTACAAGGATGTAACGTTCTTAAGTAGGACAGACTCTATATAGGTTATTGGAATATTACCATTACAGAAAGATTTATGAACGGAATGCCCCAGCTTACACTTTAAATTGCATTTTAATATGCAATTTGTATTCGAAATTTAATGTTTACACTTTTAGGTACCAGGAACGCTCTAAATTTTCTTGAAAAGCGGAATTTTCATTTTCCGTTTGAAGTTTTATTTTATATACACGTTTCACCGAAAATCGAGCTTATTTTCCCCGCCGCAATGTGCATACAATTTTTCTTTTAAAATTTCGCACTAATTAATTAAATCGAATGGGTTTTGACTTTGAAGTCCCGATTCATTAATAGCAGAGGCGCTTTTCAACAAACCGCGATCATTCTTTGATTATAGTGAATAATCGTGCACATTAGTTCCTGCAATTATCGAAATTAAATTTGCCACGTGCCATTAAAAGGTTTAACAAGAATATAGTCGATTCTTTAATATTTTTGAGAGAGTTGTTTAGTAGAATGTTTTAGCAGAACTATATGTTTTGTATATTTACCTGCATGATCTAATTTTCCTAGATTCTTTAGAATAAAAAATATCTAAACATCAATGATTAACAGTTTCTCTACTGGATGGCATCTTGACATTATTTTTGGTACTGATAGACATTTGTCCAATTTTCTTAATCTTGTAACTTGTGCACCAAACTTAAATTTACAATAAAAAAAGTTCTGACCTATAAAATATATAATAATTTTCATACTTGTTCCATTTTTCATATTTTTCTTGCCATCCGTATTCATATAAATTAGCAACTTTTCATTAAAAACATTAAATTTTACAGATATTACTACTGAATAAATATCATCAAACAAATAGCTTTTAGTAATGGTTATTCGCCAACCACAGATAAAATTATAAACAAAAAACAATACCATAAATGTCAATAGCCTTGTAAATATAATATCTTAACATATTTCGAATAGTCCAGTGAAAAAGATAAGTAAGCATAATCTAAAAATACTTTTTAAACCTAACAACTTCTTTAGGAAAATTAATTAAAAATATTGAAAGTCCAACAAATAACATCAAAAGATGTCTTGTAATAATTGTCCCAAATCGTATATGTTTTAGTGAACCTATAAAAGAATATCCACGAATAGCTTAATTACAACGATTTAAGAGAATCATGGTCGCAATCATTTTTAATGATCAATGAGATCTTAATAACTCAATAACTCACCCCTGTTAAATTTATTTTAGCCCTAATTACTTATCGTTCTAAAAATGGTACCTAATATTGGTTTTTAATTATCTTACCTGTTTAACGAAAATTTACCTTTTTTTATAAAGTACTTAGGCTTAATGATTATAGATTTTTTGTGACCCACTTAAGAACTGTATACCCTCGTAAAATCTTTGTTAATGGTTCGATTTTGAAATTTTCTTTGTTCTTGATCTCTCAAATATACCCTATTTTGCTTATTGCTGCCACCTAAAGTCATTGCCAACTGGGACTATTTAACAATAGGGGGAGAAGTAATACTTTTTTTAGATTTTTTATTGAATTGATTATACTACACCAATTTCTATCATGTTTCAATGCATGGTGTTTAAAATACCTCATACGCCACGTCTAAGGCTTTACATCCTGGTAGAATTTATGATTACGATTTGATATTGATATTTTTTTTTCGTTCTATAGATCCCTAAAAAAAGGAACTAGAAATTGGTACTATTTTTTGATGCCAAATATCGATAGTGGCTATTACAGAATGTTTGTTTATGGCTCAATTTTGATTTTGTGGGGTGATTCTTACTATACCGGCATTGAAACTGACAATGACAAGAGATTCGTATTCAGGTCTTCCTAAAAGTATTTAGACAAATGACCAAAGTGTGATTTAAGGATCTTATAAACAAATTTTAATTATACAAATTTCACAAATAGGTCAAGACTTCAAATATTTCATTCATTAGGTAACAGCATCTTAAAATGAGACCATTGATAATTCTATAGTATTGGAAAATTATACATAATGTAGATACCAACTAATTATCTGAAACGACTAAAGAATGAACGATGAAATTAGAAAAAGTATTCGAGACATTTGAATAAACTCAAACTCTTCAAAAATTTGTTTAAAAAATTTTATTTGATTGGAGTTTTTTATTCATTCAAACCAACAAAATTTGTCAGTTGAAAATTTAAGGTAACATTTTTAAATACCTACATGAGAAACATTTTCGATTTTAGAATGTAAAAAATATTCTAGTAAATGTTGATATAAAAAAAAAGATAAAAAGTTGATAATAATGAAGAGATGAAAAGTTCATTTCAGATACTCAGGATTTTTTGTAATTTGTTTTAACATATCCATCTTTTCAATTAAATTAACGAAAAAGTAGTTTCCGTGATTCTTGGAATATGACATAGCTTGTACAGGATAATATGACAAACCTATAAACCTATAGCAAATAAAATTTTGGAACATAGAAAATTGTTTAAAATAAAAAGGCAATTAAATATCAATCAAAATATCAATTATGTACTTTTCAATGGGCCTTTGATTGTTGCTAACAACTTTTGTTAGCTTTTATCCACGAGAAAAATGAAATTTCTGTTATTTAAATTATTAGATCAGAATTTAAAACCCTTCTCTGTTTAGTTTTGGTTAGTATAATTAATTTTAAGCAAATCGTTAATGTTTTTCAGTAAAATCTATGCAACAAATAAGAATTATCGAAATTGATCAGCAAACAAACATTCTACAGAAATAGTCCTTAAGCGAGGCACCCTGTATTCGAGCTTCATCGAAATTAGGTTTTATGTAATCCAGAATAAGAATTCGTTGACACTTTATTCTTAAATAAACCCCGAATAGCTTTTCTCTATATTTGGTACTAAATAGTCCCAGTTGGCCATGACTTTAGCATGAATCAATAAGCAAAATAAGATTTGAGTGCAAAATCAAAATCGAACCATAAACAAAGATTTTAGAAGGGTGTACAGTTTTTAAGTGGGACATGCTGTATATAGATGAATTTTGTTAGTTAGTTTGAAAAACTAATAAGGTTAACGAAACATTTTGTTTTCTAAAAGAAACATTATGGAGTTTCACCAAATCTCGCCTGGAAACATTCAGTTGTCAAAAACTGTAATTTTATTCTCTGTGAAAAAGGAAAAACATCCTGCAAAAATATTGTCAGCTCAAGCTCGCATGTCAAGTCTTAGGGGTTTGAAAATAGAAATGTAAAAACTTAATTTTATTATTGTCGAATTTTCGATTTCAAAATTTGCATTTGGCCTTCGTTTAGGCCCCCGTATACCGAAGTTGATGTCCACTTTGATGAATAGGCATTCAAAAACGCACATGCAGAAACGTCAGTGTGTATGCAGAAGAACGTTCATTCATCAACTTCCGTCTGTAGGGGCCTTTCAAAACTACTTGCAAAATCGTTATTGTGTATGCAGAAAAATGTTCTTCCACATACACACGAACGTTTTTGCATGTACGTTTTTAATTGCGTATTCGTCAACGTCCGTCTATAGGTGCCTGTAGGTTTTAAACTGTTTGACTCAAAGGTTGAGCTTTTTAATATAAAATCGACAAAAGTGGAATGTTTCGGGAAAATAACTAAAAAATAACAAAATCCACTCGCAGGATCCGATGGCGTCATACGACGTCAACAATCAAGACTCTGATCCGAGTCCGAGATACGACATGATCGATTCGAATAGACATGGGACGAGATGCGCTGGTGAAGTTGCGGCGACCAGTAACAATTCGATCTGCGCCTTAGGGGTGGCACATGGTGCCCAAGTGGGTGGCGTGAGAATGTTAGACGGTGACGTAACGGATGCGGTTGAAGCCAGATCGTTGAGTCTAAATCCTCAACACATCGATATTTATAGCGCGTCTTGGGGTCCAGACGATGACGGTAAAACAGTCGATGGACCCGGAGAATTAGCGACCAGAGCCTTTATCGAAGGTGTCACGAAGGTGAGTGGCTGACAAACTCGGGAAACGAGATTAACACGAAGCGTTGTAATTTAGGGGAGGAACGGCAAGGGCTCGATATTCGTCTGGGCATCCGGGAACGGCGGGAGAGACCACGACAACTGCAATTGCGACGGCTACACCAATTCAATCTATAGTTTATCAATCTCTAGCGCTACTGAATCTGGGAACGTTCCGTGGTATAGTGAGGCTTGCAGTTCCACGCTTGCTTCCACGTACAGCAGCGGAGCCGTCCACGAGAAACAAGTCGTAACAACTGATTTGAGACATTCTTGTACCAGCAGCCACACCGGTACTAGCGCGTCAGCTCCTCTAGCCGCCGGCATTTGCGCCTTGGCTTTAGAAGCGAATCCAAATTTAAGCTGGAGAGATATGCAGCATATTGTTGTACGTACAGCTAGACCTCATCATTTGACGGCAGGTGATTGGCAAGTGAATGGGGTCGGCAGAAATGTCTCGCACAGTTTTGGATACGGCCTCATGGACGCTTACGCGATGGTACAATTGGCGAGGAATTGGATTACCGTGCCCGAACAACACAAATGCGAAATTAGCGCATCTGATGTTTCCAAGTAAGTTCAAAGTATGGTGTTTTTTTTTTGCACGGCCACTGAACAAATCAGGACCGCCGTTAAAAGCCGGGAGACCATTTTCATGCCTTGACGTCGGGGAATCTAATAAAAACGCGTATTATGTGGGCCCCAGAGGGAAGCGGTTCGCAAGGAACGGTCATTTACGTCGTCAATCAAATTTCGAATACTGAAAAGACCACGAATTAAATTTAAATTGCCCGGAATTATGGTTTATTGGGGACGATCTTGCTTATCGAGGGTTATATTTAAAAAAGGTTCAGGTTATTTTAAGTGGCGTTATTTAATTTCAGGTCCATTCCGGCAAAAAGTGTGGTGGTCCTAACGTTGCAAGTAAAAGAATGCGAAGGGGTCGAAATTTTGGAACACGTCCAAGCTAAGTTGACAATTTTCGCACAGAGACGTGGGGATTTAAATATTCAGTTGACTTCCCCTATGGGGACGAGGGTTACGCTTTTGGCACACAGGGCTCACGATAACTCTAGGTCGGGTTTCAATTATTGGCCTTTTATGTCCGTCCACTCTTGGGGCGAAAGTCCTTATGGCACTTGGCAGTTAGAAATTCATAATGATGGTCGATTAATGGGTAAGTCCGTACCTTTTTGTTTGCTTTTGTTAGTCAAACAATTACTTAATTATTCCGGTTATGCAAGCAAAAACGGACTTCAAAACAATTTAATTAAAATTACAAAGTTCCATGCTTGTTATTATCTAACTGAATTGAACCACTTTACGCAGTCTTCTAAAATTCTATTTTTGGAATCAGAATTATACTGTGTTTTTTAACAAAAAAAAAATTGGTTTGGATTAGTAATTATTTTTGTGTGTACCAGTTTTATTTGACCTATAGGCTGGTTAATTTATAATACCTAAATAATTATTTTAACCCCCATTAATGCATGACTACTACTAACACTAAGTATAATAAATTCGAAAGCTAAAAAAAACAACCAGTAACATCTCCCGAAACATAAGTGATCGATGAAAAAATTTCCATTAACCCCAATCAATCACAGTCAGGAAATTTAAGGTGAAGCGCGATTTAATACGGAAAGTATCTGTTTTCCTGTCCCAGTGCTTTGTTTAGCAAATGCGGCAAACGAATACCTACCGAAACAGCTAATAATGTCAGAAAACTCACCGAAGCTAAATTTTTTAAATTGTAATCTTTTTAAAGTATAAAAATTTCAGCCACCGACAACAAAGTTCGCAGATTAAATCGGTAGCGTTTGTAAAATTGCAATGACCCACTAAAGCTAAGGTTACACACATACTTTGTTGATAAATATTCATCGGACACTGCACATCTGAACCAACAAACACCGAATTCGAAACACACCTCAAAACAAATTCCTGCTTATTTCGATTTAGAATTTCAGCGTATTTAAATTTAAGTTATCTATATACGCGATCTTTCACACTTAATACAGGGAAATATTTTGCAAAAAAGATCCGTTTAACCGAAATCAGTTATATACACATATGGGATTTTTATACTAACTGCACAACTAAAACACTAATATCGCCAAAAGTTGGTGCGTGTTTCATAATCATATTGGGTGCACTATATATATTTGCAAGTCAAACAACACACAGGATAGGACGAAAAATATAAAATTAAGAACAGTTGTTTAGAATTAAAAGTTATGCGTTGATACCAAAAGATAAAAATATTACACACAATATCGTTTACTATTTTTCTCAATAATTTTAAATCAAATCAATTTAGGGAATTTTTGTTCCAATTCCATCTTATTTGTAAAGTTAACTAATATTTTTAATTGTCTAGCGAATACTTAATACACTCCTAAAATAAATAAGAATATTAATATTGTGGACTAATCTTAACCACTTTAAACTACACAATTTAGGAAAATACGAAAAATAAGAAATTTTCGGACCACAACAATTTTGGGAAGAGTTGGTGTGTTTATGGAAATCACGCTGATCTTGTATTTGTACTTGAATTCACATGCAAAAATCATAGTCTCGCTTCTGAAACGTGCAAATAAATTTTGGTTTATAGGCGTAATATTAATTTTTTCTGAGAATGTTCTTAATTGAGCTTTTTTCGACATGATTATGGAACATGCATCAATTTTTAGTATTCTCGTTGTTAGTAAAAAAATCCCATATGTTGCACACTAAAATGACCAAATTTCCAGGCAAAATGCATAATTTTCATTTTTCCCACTTTAGAAGAACCAAAATCAGGTACATTGAAAGTAAAACTATACAAAATTAACCAAGAATTCCGGGAAGACATCAGTTTTAATGTAATCCTAAAACCCGGAAAATGGAAAAGACGCATTTTGGCAAAAAAATGTTTTATATTTTTATGTTCATAATGGTTTCTAAAAGACAACAGTACAATCCTTATTTCTGTAAATTATTTCGGATAAACGAAAGTTAAGCTAATATTTTACCGGTCTTTCATGTATTCCATCAAATTAGAAGAAAAATGTCGGTATTTAATAAATACCCGGTATATTTTTCAATTTAAATACAAAAATCAATTAAATCAATTTAATACAAAAATAAGTGAAGTATTTTTATTCAATATTATCCTTAAATAATAAGGTATTCCCTTTTGGATTACTTTTAGCAATCAGCACCCCTAACCTTACTAACACCTATTAATTTTCAGGCCGAGCTACACTTCAGAACTGGTCGTTGATATTATACGGAACGAAACACTTTCTGTCGTTTTTACCTAACAATTCGAACGAAATTAATGGCTCTAAATATAATAACAAACAAACAAAATCTAACGGGGGAACTAAAAAGAAAAATAAAAAACAGAAACACAAAAACTTGACCAAAACGTCGAAAAATTTCAATAAACCAAAAGGGAAAATATCTTCGAAAGAATTGAACAACACCATTTCCATAAAAATCAAAAAGATTTCGACGACCACTACCGATGTTTCTCCATATTTTTACGCGGTATCCAACAGTAAACTTAAAATAGATCACTATTTGAAATTTGTCAAAAATATCACCATAACTTATCCCGTGATGATCCCCGCCAGAGACGTCGCAAAAAATTTCAACAAAAAAGGTCAAAAATTGAAAGAAAAAAGTCGCGATATCAATTTCAATCACAACATGAAAGTGTTCGTTCCGAAATCGACCGAAAAAACGCCAAGTGGCGCTTCGAAAGGAATTAAGGGTAATTTTATTCGCATGAAACTGTAGCCCCGCTTTTTTTGACATTTACTTTTTGATTTTACGAATTCCTGGTAGTTGCGATTTTATTTTGTATTACGCATTGTGGATATTTTTCAAAAAAATGTCACCCCATATCGATGCCAAGTTGTAGTAGGGAATTTTACTTACAGCTAAGATTAAAGCTTGGGATCTCACTTTATACGGCACCGCTACAGCCCCCCCATATGATATTCATCGGCAACATCTAAATGTTGATACCCAATCAATACCGGAAATTTACAACGAAGACATTCTCCACAATTCTATCGATTCTCCATCTGATTGGAAAACCAGCGTTGAAGTAAGCTTTTACTTTTAATCATTAAAGTGCGAGAGAGGGCGATAATTCACGACATTTTCCATTAAATTTCAGAATCGGAAAGACACCTTAGAAGTGGAAGAAAAGGAAACCACTTCGTCCGGGTGCAAAAAATTGCAAGGGAATGTTTGTTTAGGTTTGTTATGTTTTGTTTCGGTAATGTTATCGCAATCATCACTCAACATTCGCAATGCTCTTTCAGTGTTACTAATACCCATTGGTTTACTAATTTTAAATCTAGATTTTATGTGCGTAAACGAAATTCTGAGTGAGTTATTAATCCCGCATCACGTAGATACGGATAGGCGCTTTGCTTTGTATCAAATAGTAACATCAGATCAACAAAATTCTGACAACAATTTTCACAGTCATTTTGATAGTAAAAACAAATTAAATCTGACTCGTGCAGTTGGTTTCAAAAGAATTCATAGTCCAACTGAATTCCTAGCACAAGTGTATATCACATAAATCGGTTTTATAACACGTGGTTATTGTTTAGTTGTTTTCTATTATAATGTACAGTACTGTAAAAAAAAGCACAAATCAAGGACAGCCTGTTTTTCTGCGGTGTGCTCCAGCTTAATAGCATGGTACTTAATTTAAAATAATTCAAACGAAGAAAGTCTACAAAGCCACGGGCTCCCATTTGTTTTTCGTGCATTAGTTGTCGCTGAGGTTTGGTGGACTATGTCAATTTTTACATATTGCTTTTCTTCTGTGATTATTGGGCAATCAATTTTCAGTTAATGATGAGCTATGATTTTCATCTCCTGTATTCATTTTTTTAAATACAATGGACGATATTAAGGAAAATAGCGCTGTTTGCATAAAACATAATTTTGTTTTTTCAATACTGTACCTGAACCGGATATACACTAGTTATTTATATCATTTTTGTTAAACTGCTGGATAATTTATTTTTTATTATTGATGAAATAACCATATCTTTGTTGTTTTTATGGATAGTGTTATAAAATAAAACGAAAATGAAGTATGTTATTACTTCACTGCCATCATTTTAATGGACAAATTTACAAATCGTGTATGTTGATAGTAGGGTGATTCATGCTGGTTTACCGACGTTCATCTGTAGCGATTTATTCAAATGCATCACATTCCTCTTGTGTTAGCTCACAACAAAAACAAATTTCATTTCGTCAATGTTAATTCGTTATGAACATTTCTCCAAAGATGATAATAATATAATATGTATGTGCCAAATTTGATGGTTGTATAAAACACTAGCTTTGATCAGCGGGTCGGTTAATAAAAAAAAAGACATGGTAGAGCAGTACTTTATAGAATATGAATAAGTATAAGTGCAATTACCTATGTACCAATAATGGTTAAACACAAAATTTGCCACCATTTTTCCTGTGTACTTTTTAGCTAAAAAATTCGGTTTGACTAGTTTTAAACTGCTAATAAGGTAATTTTTACTGTGATTGTTTATTGTACATAATAATTTTAAAAGACTCATATTATTTTATATTATAATACTAAAAAGTAGTTCCTGAACGTATGTTAACCATTAATTTTAAGGAATATATGATGTGGGTATATGTTATATTAATATCGTAATTGAATTACTTAATATGCCTTTTGCATAGTCACTGCTGCGACTTTGACAAAATGTCGAAAATATGGGGTTCTAGTCATTTATTAGAATGAATCGGACAGCAACTTTTATAGCCGTGCCTTTGGTTTTAGAAAACGCTAACAATAAGTCCTGACTATATCAACTCAAATTTAGCAACGGATTTAATACCTTCAATACCATGTCTCGCAACGTAAGTGTTTCTAAGTGACATTTAAAAGTCGGAGGTCAGTGATTCAAAGCATCGCAATATTGTAGTACCTTAGAGTATCTAATCAAATCGAAAATCAAAAATTAATTTGTTAATTTGTATATCGGTCAACAGAAACATAACCATCTGCCCAAAATTTTACAATATGTACTTTCGCAATATTTTTTTCAGGTAACACACGATTGAAATTAATATATTATTAAAATTTGTCAAGCAATATGATCAGGGCGATTAGGTAGATGCGATGTTATGTTTCTGTGTTTTAAAGGGCATAGAAGTAATCGCTCAAGTTGTGTGAATGTGATTAAGTGTGACAGTTTTGGCCATACCTATATATTTATTTAAAACGATATTTTTGATGTACATGTCCTTATTACTAAGTAAAACGCCTAAGTTCTTGGCAATTTTGTTCAGAATTTTTTTGTAATTTATTATTTTCGCTGGTTTCTCAACAAATTTGCTAATTACTTTTCTTTGTTACTATATATTATATTATTGTATGCCAAGAGATTGTAAATTTTACAAAAATAAATTGTGGCAAAAAATATCTTACATCTTTGATAGCCTTTACAAACTTCCCTTGGAGAACAGTGTCGCGCACTCGGAAACATTCCTTGGTAAGTTTTCTTTTCACCTTATTTGCATGTTTTCTATTTTTGGTTGTGTTGAAATTGTTGTCAGATTTTGGTTCAAATCACTCACGTATAACTTCATTTTTTTATTGTTTACATTTCTCGTCCACCTTGTTGATGTGTAAAAGTAGATGTAATCTTCATATAATTATTGAACTGATTCATACATTCACATAAAAACTGCCATCCCACTATAGCAGCGATATGTTTTATTGTCATACAAAAAAAGGTTTCACTTTTCTCTGGTGTAAGGGTTGGTGTATAATAAGACATTTACTTTAACATAACTCCAGCTTGTTTATGTGTATACGTTTTTTTTTTTCACGTGGTATGTTAGTCTTTTTCTCATGCACTGAAGATTCCATTTATATATATTTGCAGAATGCCACCCGGGTTTTGTGCTGTCCAACCTGACGTGTTTGGAAACATGCCCCGATGGATTTTATAACAGCAGCCGTGGAGCAGAAAACAGCTCTTTAAAAAGTTTCGCCTGTGCTCGCTGCCATTACACGTGCAAAAAATGCAACGGGTCTATGGACTATCAATGTACCGCGTGTTTCCCAGATGCGGTTCTATACCACTTGTCGCGATCGGTCGCTCACTGCTATCCCAAACATTTAATATCGGAAGTGTTCTCCGAATGGTATTACCGCGTGTTCACCGGCCTGATATGTATTATAATTTTAGTATTGCTTATCGTTATCCTAAGTTTTGCGTATTTAAAGAGAAAAACTCCCAAATACGTGCTAATTCCGTCGGACTTTGATGAAACAAAACAAATCAAGAAAAATATTAAGGCGAAGATTTATAGCGATAGCGAATAAATTGAAACTGTGATTCTCAAGACGTGCGTAACCTATTTTACGAATCCCGTGCCAATGTTAGTGAATGTACATGTAGCATAGCTGCCTACAACTTATATTGTATTTTAAAATTTAAACTGTACATAATAAATTATTGTTTAATATTGGATTGTTTTTTTATCGTACACAAACAAACAAATGGCAATTCAATCCAAGCGTTTTATTTAAATAAATAACCTACTGCCATGGGCTGAAATATCACAAAGTCCTTACATAATAATCATTAATTTTCTTCAGTAATCGTAGCTAAAATCAACAAAACATTATTTATATCAATGAAGTTTTCAAACAACTGTCACTTACAATCCGGCACCTTTCGACTGCGATTGGGCAGCGCTTTGGGAAAAACTAGCTGAAAATGGTCCAACGGAAAAAGAAGCGGACTGGCTATTAGCCTGACTTTGGGAAATCCCGTGGCCTCCAAATCCACCTACTACAAACCTCGCTCGATAATAGTTACCATTGATCCACCACAATTATATTACCTGAACCCGCAGAAGCAGAACTTTGCGCAAAAGCACCACCACCTTGGTGTCCTCCGTGATTATAATGGTGTTCGGGATAATGCCCGTAACCAACCCCGTGTGTCCCATAATGGCCGCCGTGACCGAAACCACCGTGCCCGCCGCCGGGGCCATAACTTTCGTGCCCGTAATCCCCCCCAAAGCCGCCGAAAAGTCCGTAATGTTTTTTCTTCAAATGTGGCGATCGAACTCTTCTAACGGATTCTAAAAATGTGGGCAACGGTATTATTGAATAAATTTTATAATAAAAAAAATAATTACCGTCGGCGTTTGATTCTAATTCGAGGGGCGCACACGTCACTTGGTAAACCAGTAAAACACTTAGAAAAATGCTCAAATTCATTTCGTGTACGCGAACTGAACGAAATTCGACAAAATTTCAAAACTTTTTAAAAAATAACCGAAGCGTCTTTGTATTTATTGACATATCGACGTCCCCACTTAAATCAGGTCTGCAAATTCTCGTCGAACTTGAAGATTTTTTAAAATAGCGACCGAAGGTTGTTCATCTCGGCGTTCCTCGAAAAACCCAAGATTTTACGTTATTTCCCCATTACTGGCGGAAACAGCGCGTACGGTCACAATTTTAATTTGAATTTTCTACACATTAGTAAAACATCCTTCAATGGGAGGTGATTTTTAGCTTGTTTGCTCGTTAATTTAAATATTTTTGGGAGTACTAATTGGTCGGGATTTTCGAAGGTCTTTTTATTTATTTATCAAATCGTTCAAGGTATATACAGCGTCGCCACTAAAGCCGCATCATATGGCAACATTGTTTATGAATTATGAATTTGCGAGTTTTACCTGTCAAAATTGTTTTTTTTAAATACCATAACACAGGTTCTTTTCGAAAATATTGAACAACGACCTTCGAAAAGGTTTTTTTTTTCACTTTTCGGACAAACTTGCTTTTTTTCACGTTTTTCCAATCTACACGCTAATTTAAAGAAATAGGAATCAAACTACTTAGTTGTACTAGACTGAAAACCTAACAAAGGGTCTTTTTTTAAATATATCTTAAATTCTCGATTTCCAAAAAAAATCGTCAAATGCACCCACAGAAATCGCGAAAGTTTTTAAAACCAAATGAAGTTTCATTTTATTAAAATTGAGAGAAGTAACTGACCTAAAAAATACAAGAAAAAATTAATTAATTTAGTGGCGACACTGTATATTTCGGTTTTTATATTTATTATTTAATTTTGTTTTTTATACCTAAATAAATTGCAAAGTTAACTAAAATCTTAAAATAATAATATATTACCTCTTATTTTGTAGGACAGGAAAAAATGTGTAAAAAATATGTATCTCCATTTCCAAGAATTATGCACCACCCATTCACTAAACTCTAGGCTAATTAAATTAAATACGTATTCGACATCGAATGAAATGTAGGTCGCGTGTGAGCTTACCTTGACCCTTAAGACTTTCAAAATAAACGAGTAATTTTTTTCTGTTTATTTATTAAATAACATTATCGAGAGGGGACTGAATACCTTTTGTAGAATTTGAAAATAAACATCTATTTGTATTAATTCATTGTCTGTCTGCTATAAACAAAAACAATGGCGTCATTTTAATTTCCAAATAGCAATTACTATTCGAACGGAAGCCAATGAAATGAATTATTTTTAAATTTTCCCAACAAAAGCGAGCCCAACCAAAATGCCAACATTTAACCAAACTCCTCTGGTTTATTTGTTGTTTAATATTGGTATTATTGGTTTCACTAGGAAACATTGCCAACCGTTTCCCTATAAAAAGGCGTGATTGATGTTAACTTCGTTATTAGTAAGGATAATATAATAAAATCTTTAAAACATGTTAAAACGCACCAAATATTAGTCATTGATTTGATAACCATGCTTTACAAATAAAATTTATAACGAAGTGAAGCTTATGAATCGATTAAATTTAAAAATGGCGGGAACTTTCTCCCACTTTGACGATATCGAACGTCACTTCCCGTTCCTTTAAAAGAGAGCGAACAGGATTTTCCGGTGCTCCATTTTGTTAAACCGTAGTGGTGAAAGCGTGCGGTTGTGTCCGTGTTTCAACGACACACAACCCACCCTAAAAAAAGTGAAATAATATCTCTAAAAATACAAAAAAAATATAAAAATATCTCGCAAAAACCCAAAAAAATCGAAAAAGAGTGAAAAACTAAAATAAGCGATATTTTTATTTCGTTTCGTATGTTATGGGAGCTAGCGTACTCTGTGTATTTGTGGTGTCGTGAATATTCGGTAAGATTCCACTGGGCTTAGTAAAAAGCTAATTATCTACGATGAACCAAGGAGCACCGAATTATCCCATGGCGTCTCTGTACGTCGGGGACTTGCACTCCGATATCACTGAAGCCATGCTTTTTGAAAAATTCTCATCAGCTGGCCCAGTCTTATCTATTAGGGTTTGCAGGGATTTGATAACCCGTAGGTCTTTGGGTTATGCCTATGTAAATTTCCAACAGCCCGCTGACGGTGAGTTACCATATGGCACAGCGTACTTTCAAATTTGTTTAAACATCTCGATATGCATGGATAATTATGAGTCACCAATATTCACATCAAATAATTTGTGAAGGGGAAGTCCTCATTTATCTACTGTGCATTTAGTTGAACAACCTTGAAAGTGCATTTATTGATTACTGGTTGAGATATCGTTTAACTGCTAAAAAAAGTCGAAATTTTAACTTCAGTAGTTGCGATAAGTGAAATTTCTGAAAGCGTGTTGCAATAAAGATAATTGTTATCAGCATTACCTATTTATGGATCAATTTTTCTTTACTATTAAAAAAAATATATTTAAAAAAGCCTCACAACTTTTTGTATCCAATTTTAGCGGAAAGAGCGCTGGATACTATGAACTTTGATTTAATCAAGGGACGACCCATTCGTATCATGTGGTCTCAACGTGATCCTTCTTTGAGGAAATCCGGAGTGGGCAATGTATTTATTAAAAATTTGGACCGTTCCATTGACAACAAAGCTATGTATGATACTTTCTCTGCTTTTGGAAATATTCTTAGCTGTAAAGTAGCTCAGGATGAGAACGGAACCAGCAAAGGCTATGGTTTTGTTCATTTTGAAACTGAAGAAGCGGCAAATAGGTCTATTGAAAAAGTGAATGGAATGTTACTGAACGGAAAGAAAGTTTACGTTGGCCGTTTTATTCCTCGCAAAGAAAGGGAGAAGGAACTTGGAGAAAAAGCCAAATTGTTCACAAATGTTTATGTAAAAAATTTTGGTGAAGACCTAACGGAAGAGCAATTGCGCGGGATGTTTGAAAAGTTTGGTAAAATTACCAGCTATAAGATAATGAGCAAAGATGACGGGAAATCCAAAGGATTTGGATTTGTCGCATTTGAGAGTCCTGAGGCGGCCGAGGCCGCAGTTGAAGCTCTGAATGGTATGTCGCCGATTTTTGAGTTAATTTTTGCAGTGGTGTTGATTACTAATTTTCATAGGCAAGGAAATTGTTGAAGGGAAACCGCTGTATGTTGGCCGGGCACAAAAGAAGGCGGAGCGGCAGCAGGAGTTAAAACGCCGGTTTGAAGCGCTGAAAATGGAAAGGCTTAACCGTTACCAAGGGGTCAATCTTTATGTTAAAAACTTGGATGACACTATAGATGATGAGCGGCTACGCAAGGAGTTCTCACCATTTGGAACTATAACTTCAGCCAAAGTAATGATGGAAGAAGGCCGGAGCAAAGGATTTGGTTTCGTCTGTTTCTCATCTCCTGAAGAGGCTACGAAGGCCGTCACTGAGATGAACGGTCGTATTGTTGGATCCAAGCCGTTGTATGTAGCTTTGGCTCAAAGAAAAGAAGATCGTAAGGCCCACTTGACATCCCAATACATGCAAAGAATGGCTAATATGCGTATGCATCAAATGGGTCAGTTTATCCAGCCGGGTGCGTCTAGCGGTTACTTTGTACCTACTTTACCCGCCCCGCAAAGATTTTATGGTGCAGCTCAACTTCCGCAGATTAGAACGAGTCCAAGATGGCCTACCCAAACACCCGTTAGACCAGGCGGACAAGGAGGTAAGATTTTTCACATGGAAAGTGTTGGATTAATTAAAAACTAATTTATAGGTGCTACTGCCTACGCTGGTATGCCAAACACCTACAGAGCCACAGCCCGTCCGCCAAATCAGACCGCGGCCATGCGCAGCAACATTAACGTCCCAAGACCCATCACTGGTCAACAACCCCCTAATATGCAAGGGCGACCGCTTGCAGGTCAAAGTGTAGTCGCTGCTGGAGGAAGTCGCACCGCTAACTTCAAATATACTGCAAATATGAGAAACCCACCGCAAGCCATGGGTGCCTTACCAGCAGCGCCGGTTCAGCAAGCCGTGCATATTCAAGGACAAGAACCACTGACCGCTACCATGTTGGCGGCGGCACCGCCCCAAGAACAGAAACAGATGTTAGGAGAGCGTCTTTTCCCACTTATTCAGCGGATGTATTCCGACCTGGCCGGCAAAATCACCGGCATGTTGTTGGAAATCGACAATACTGAATTGCTGCATATGTTGGAACACAACGAATCTCTCAAGAACAAAGTTGAAGAGGCCGTGGCCGTGCTGCAAGCCCACCAGGCGAAACAAGCCGCGACCCAGATCAAGAAAGAGTAAAGAAACGCATTTTGTGCGTCAAATACACAGATTTTACGTATGTATGATAAAATTAAAAAAATTGCAAACAATTTAAAAGACAAAAAGTTGAAAAAAAAAAGGAAACAACCAACAAAGTTAAAAAAAGAAATTTATAGATAACTTTTGTTCAGACGACGCCCTTTTTTGCAAGGTCCAACTACTGCAAGTTGTTTGTACATTTTATTGCTCCTAATTTTTGTTTACTTACAGTCAACTTACAGTTTTTCATACCAACGAAGCAGTCAGTCTACATCTATCTTTTCTTTACTAGGTTATATTTTCAGTAGATTTAAGTTTATTCGCCTATTGGAATATTAACGGCGCAATATTTGTTAATTGGCTTTTTATATTTGATGATTTACTCTTCAATTTAACCTTACCATTGTATTCAATTGCTCCTTCTAAGTAAATATTGTTTAGGGCAGACTTTTATTTAGTGGATAAAACCTTTCTGGCAAAAATTGCATTTACCTGTTAACAGAGCTCCACAAAACCCTTGCGATGAGCTCCTTTCGATAATTTATTTAATAAAATTATAAACCTACTTCTTTACAGTTTAAATTTTTAGTATTTCTATTTCTAAAATTCTATGGTTTGGGGATTACTTTGTAATTCCTTTGGGATTAATAAATGTGTATTGATTATATATTTTTTATTTTGTATTCCTACCTGGCAGTAGTAAACTCCAAAAAAAGAACCGTTATTGATGTAAAAAGACCCTCAAAACATTTTATTTGTATAGTGTGTATTTAAAAAAAAAAGCGACATTAAGATATACTCTTCACAGCGTTCTGGGCAGCTTCATCTAAAGTCTCGGCTGTTTGAATGTTTAGACTGGAATCTTTAATAATTCTTCTGGCTTCAGTCGCGTTAGTACCTTCTAGCCTCACAATAAGTGGTACTTTAAGAGGAGTGCTTTTTAAAGCGCCCACAATGCCATTGGCAATGGTGGCGCAATTTACTATGCCACCAAATACATTAACGAGTATTGCTTTCACGGAAGGATCTGACGTGATAATTTGAAATGCAGCACGGACTTGTTCCTCTTTAACGCTACCACCTACGTCTAAAAAGTTCGCGGGTTCTCCGCCATATAATTTGATTATGTCCATTGTTGCCATAGCTAAACCGGCACCATTTACTAGACACCTAGAAAACGAAGATTAAATATTAATTCCACAAATGACTATATGAACTACCCTATGTTCCCAGTCATACCAATATAATTAAGATTATATTTGGCAGCTTCTACCTCTCTGGGGTCACTCTCGGTGTATTCTTCCAAAGAAAAAACATCTCTTTGCCGAAATTTCGCGTTATCATCGAAATTAAGTTTCGCATCTACAGATATTACTTTTCCGTCGTCTGTTTCTACTAGCGGATTTATTTCTATTTGCGTAGCATCCACGGCAACGAAAAGATTCCACATTTTTTTAATTTCCTCGGCTGCTTTTTTCCTGAGTGGCCCGTTGAATTCAAGAAACTCGGCTAGTTCATGAGCCATTTGATCAGTGATACCTTCGAATATATCAATAGGTAAAGTTTTTAATAAGTGGGGAGTTTTTTCAGCAACTGCTTCGATATCCATTCCACCCGCAGGAGATGCTATTATCACGGGTCCATTTTTTTGGCGATCCATTAATATACAGACGTAGGTTTCGCGTTTGATATTGACACTTTCGGCAATCATTATTTTATTTACCGGAATTCCATCTTTGGGCGTTTGTTTGGTTATCAGCTTGTGTCCCAACATCTGTTTGACGATATCTAAAATTTCTTCTCTCCTAAAATCAATATCCCGGTTTGGTTTGATTGCTAAAGCATAACTAGAAATTACTTTTGTGTAATATGAACCCCTCCTTTGAAGCCATTATCAAAATGGCCTTTTCCTCTGCCACCCGCCAGGATCTGTGCTTTAATAACATACTCGGCAGCATCTACAACCCGAAAAAAACCTAGTTTCTCACCTAACCAAATTTAAAAGCTGCACTTACTAAATTTGTCCAATTCACTAGCACCATGTTCATCTATCATACAAAAATCCTGGATGGCAACATTGTTTTTCCTTAGCAAGTGTTTACTTTGGTATTCTAACAAATTTAAATGCCTAATTGGAATCTACGACACGAGGCGATAGATGAGTGTTCAAAAAATGGTGTTTAAGCTACCTACTTTTAACACGTCGTGTGCTAAGGGCAATTTGCGGACAGTGTTCCAAACAGACATTTTACAAATATCCACTAATCACTAACGCACCAAACGTAAAACGCACTAATTTGCTTATCAGAGTTCAAAAGGGCGATTTTGGTTTTTCGTAAATAATAGTCACGTTAATAAACGTAAATTACGATAATAAATCATAAAAAACACAACGATTAATATATATATATATATATTGAGTTAACCAAAAGAGCAGACACTCAAGCAGGAATATAATACAATAAATGTGTAAATAGAAAGCTATTTTATAAGGTAGTGATTATTCCCGAGAAGCGTATATCGTGTTGTCTAAATTAGTAACACGCATTCGCATTTGATGCGGAATTAATTCAACAATAACGCATCTATTAAAGGAATTTCTTTCCCAACCTCATCTCGAAAATTATTCATTTAAAACTAATTATAAAAATCATTTTAATAATAAACATCAACATTTCTCCACCAGTTCAGAATAAAACAAACTAAGAAATTTTAAGAAGTTTGTATTTACAGCTAATAACTTAAATGAAACTCGTTATCTCGTTCCATTGATTTCTTCTTCAACAAAACTATGCAAACTATTAGTAATATTAACAAAGATATAACCAACCCGACGAGTGTAAACAGTGCGTGTCGTAGACTAGCGCCGGGATCTAGAGAAAATAAAATGGACCAATCAAAACATCCCGCTACCAAAACAAGAAAATCACCTGGGCTTTTTTGTAACTCTTTTGGTATCACATTAGGAGCTGGAACATGTGATGCCATTTTCGGCAAAAGTTGATTCCAAAACGCTATTGCTAGGCTTCGCCTTTTAACTTCGCCACTGTTATCGATACTAGAGTTAAAGTCAAAATTTTCTATGTATTGATCCACGGGTGTGTACTTCCTCCACTGTTTCATTCTGTTGTTATTTGGCGTCGGGTTTCTATAAATAATTACAAACCGATGAATGACCATTAAAAATGCGACTTTCATTTTACCCAACATAAATAAAGTCGATCCATATCTTTTTTAACTGGGCACTAAACCTGGCTTCCATCGAGTTAAATCTTCTCCTTCCTGTGTGTTTTAAAAGCGACGGTCCAAAGAGTAAGATTAAATCCGAAGCAGCTAGCTGATCTAAAAATGATCACGATGCACGATTAGCTGGTTGTATTTACAAATTTTCAGGATTCTTCCTGGGTAGGTTGTTGTTAAATCGCTGTTCATGTTTCGCCAATCAAGCTGTTGGCTTCTTCAAAGCATAACTGAAATTTCTTCCCATTCTACTCTGTCCCTGCTTATATACTGAGTGGGCGGAGCTAAAGGAGAGGCATGAACATTGTTTCGAATGACTGATTCCCTCGTTTGAGGAGGTAAAGACCTGAGGCGTGGTTAAAATTGTTTGGTTGTTTAGAGGTTTCTGCGAATTCTTGGATTTTTCTTTGGCAGAAGAATTGATTATATTCAAGAATTTTAGTTTGATAAGTTTATTTGTCGTAGTCTTAAGGATTTTAGCCTAATTGACATTTTCCGTCCTGTTTCTCCAATGCCAAATATGCATGGAATTTGGTCTTTGACGGATCGAAGATGAAAGATTTTTGATGGTGAATCTGGTTTTAACGTTATTATTATTATTACATGTGGCCAGTGGCGTTTTCAATGTAAGGAAGGACAACAGTGGCAAGTATGGGGTTGCTTTGAAATTGATTTCCCTTGGGAGATTGTGGTGAAATATATTTTGTAGTGGAAAGCTTAATATATTTTTCTGTAAACAGATTAGATCTTATTTTCTATTAAAAATAATTAATAATATCTAGGAATGGGAGAATATTTTTAGGTTCTAATTCAATGGTAAAACTTGTATTAGGGCGTGTCGAGTTTAAATGGCCAAGAAAATCTCGGATCATGAGATCAAATAACACAAGTATCATCAATGTAGCGTTTCCATAATTTTGGTTTTAGCAGGAAAGTGTCGAGGGTTTTCTTCTTCCATAAATATATATTTGCGATGACTGGTGATACTGGAGAATCCATAGCTGTTCCCTGATATTTGACAGTTTCAAGAAAAATATGTTCCAGACAAGCACCAAATAAAAACCTGTGCATAAATAGAAATCTATAAGCAATCAAACAATCTTAATCGCGACTCAGCAATATGGGAATCAATCAGCCGAGACAATGTTCATGCACCTCCTTTAGCTCCGCCCCCTCAAATATAAATAGGTACAGAGTAAAATGCAAATCAGTTTAAGTTAAGCTTTGAAGAAGCTAACAGGATGATGTTGTGGAAGTTTCTATAAGAAAATAATCTGCTAATTCCTGAAAATCCGTTACCAGTGGTATTCAAAGAGGGTCCTACGTCGTTTATGGAGTAGACGAAAATAGGTTGCACGTAAGAATTCAAATACGACAACTGCAAAAAATGCGGCGCCTCAATTTTCGACTCGAATTCTAAATTTCGAATCTGATCGAAAAGCAGCCTGACGTCGTCTTGACTAGTCGACCCGTATTTCCAATTAACCAAATCAAACACTTGATCGTAGTTCGGCCCTTTAGTAAATTTGTAAAGGCGGAGAATCTCTGGAATTTTTGACCGTTCCACGTAGTACTGTAGTTGCTGGTAGCCTTGACTGGCGAAATCCACCCACTCATCTAAAAGCGAAACTATATTTAGGTCAAAGAACGCGTCTACGTTCGTTTACATAGTTGGGGGTGTGTGATCGGTTTCGAAATACCCGTTAAAATCGGGACTTGAAAAAAAGTTGCTTCCCTGAAAGCTTTCGCCGGTTCATTCGGTAAATATCGATTGTTTTCTGCGAGAAAAGTGTCCACCACGGGAAGAAACAAAAAGTCGCTCAACTAAAAAAAGTATATATAAAATTAACGTGCCCCAGCAGGAAACGCCTGCGTACTTGCGAATATTCCTGCAACGCTCGTAAAACATGTTCCGTCGTTTTGGATCGTAAACATCTTAAATAGTCAAAAGAATTGCACGTTAAAAGTCTCAGTATTTCTTTTGATGCTTCTATTGGATCGTTTTGAGTTTGCCATGCTGATACCGCACTTCCGGATGAAATTATCGCCCTCTGGAAAAGACCTAGAGGAAACGAAATTTTCTCGAATCTTCTTGAGTTTTCCACATTACCTGCGGTTCTTGGCGATATCAAATGGAAAGCGACGCTGACCGCGCCGGAAGAGTGTCCAAAAAGGGTGATTTTATCCGGATCGCCTCCGAAATGCTTAATATTGTCTTTAACCCAGAGAATAGCAAAATATTGATCAAGGAGTCCCAAATTACCTCTGGCTTCTTCGGTACCCAAACAAAAATACCCGAAAATATTCAGTCTGTAGTTCGCTATAACTACAACTACCCCTTCGACTGCTAGGTCTTGGCCCGATATCGGCAATTCGGTGTTTCGGTAAAAATCTAGACCTTCGAAAAACATCAACACCGGGATGTTGGCAAAATTACCAGAAACCTGAAATCTTTTCCAATAATAACAAAGTCCGTACTGACGTAGATACTTACAGATGGGGACCAAATATTCAAATAGAGGCAGTCTTCGTTACCAACAACTTCTCCTTTTCTGGTTAATTGGGCGCATCTCGGACCATAGCCGATTGCTTTGAACGTTTCATTCCAGCCAGCGTGTTTTTGCGGGGGCTTAAATCGATTATTTCCAATAGGGGCCGCCGCATAGGGTATGCCCAAGAAACTATTTACCAATTTTGATGATTCCGTATACAAAGTCAACTAAAAAAAAACATATCTATAACAACTTAAATTCGTAAACGGAAGATCATATGTGAAACGATACGTCATCAGTTAAATTACAGAAAAGTTGTGGTTTTTACACCGTTATTAAACTACCTAATAAATAAAATAAAACAATACGATATATTAACTTATTAATTAATGTACAGTGCTTCAATTTATCTTGATAACATTTTAATTGGCTGTAACTTTTTTGTTTTTAGAGATATCAAGGTAACCAAAAAAACAAAATGTAGGGTTAGTAGCCAATTTTTTTTTCGAAATGATGTATAAAACGAAACACTATCAATTTTCTGACATATAAGCATACATCATATTTCTTGAAATGCAACACCCTGTATATTATATATGCCTAAAATAGAATATTTTATTCCTACTTCTTCCACTTTATATTTTAGCACACTAGTTTTTGACAAATTGGATAAAATAGAAAATTTTTATATAATTTCAAAGGGTTTTATTAAACGCTTCTTAAAATTTAAAATTTAGGGGGTAATAGGGCACAGCACACCCCCTTTTTCTGATAGTCTGCAGTTTTTATTTACAAAATTAACATGAAACAACTGGGAGAGAGGTAGAATAGAAATCTTAATGTTCTCTCACAAATTTAGATAGTTGGCATTAGCAGAAATGTTACAGGCAGACTTGAAATTCAAAGCAACTTTTCTTCGTATGCCGTATCTCTCAACGCTCAAACAGTGAAAGTGGCCACTCTGTATATGATCGCGTGTTACCTACCCCCTCCACAAGTCCTTGCGGTATCCTCAGGCTAAGTTTGCGTTCCTGCCATTTTTGGCAACAACCGCATTTAAGGACAATTACGTAAGTCAAAAGTGTCACCAAAAACATAATTCCTCGCACAAATCGATGAACGAAGAACGCGAGAACATATTGCCAACGAACGGTCAATTGACAATGTGGACGATAAAAAAAATAGTTTTCGGATTCTGTTCGGCAATACGTGCACAAAACTTCCGGAACTGGATCTTTTGTTTATATATCCGGTCGGACATAATTGGCAACGTGGTCTATGAATATCAATTTGACACGCTTATGTATTGCAGATAACCGATTAAAAAATAATACTTGTGGAAATTTTGTTTTTTGACACCTAGATTAATGAATTGCACCGTAAGACTACTAAAATAAATATATTTATTACACTAAAATTCCATCTATATCGAAATTAGTTGAATTCATGCAAAACGTTTTTTTTTTCATCGAATCTTGCCGTATTCCAACATGTGTTCTTTATTGCCTGCTAGAATGGTAGTATGGGCGACTCTCGAATGAAGAACCTTATTTGGAATAAAATGAAATTTCTTTTTGGGTCGCATTACTCAGAACTGGACAATTAACTGCTCCTATAGAGGTGAAGCGAACCAAATGGTTTTTTAAAACGCATTTTCGACCGCAGTACGCGTTTTTTCACGTAATGTATTTAAGAAATTTTCAACATGCCGATGGCAGAATTGGCTTGTTTGAAAAACGAAATTTACATTTAAAAAACTTAAATTTTTCTTAACAGATCGAATTGTTTGTCACAATTATTAAATTAAATAGGCAAAATATAAGTGAATGCTGGTTTCCGACAGAAAAATTCTTATGTGATTATGCAACCAATATCAGGGAAGAGCTAATAAAATATTTTTTTATTACTGGTCCAAGCTGATCAAAAATGCAATAATTAAACATTTTAAAATTCAAAACTCATTGTTTCGTATTACCAATTAGTAAGGAAAATGCACCTTTACGGGCGTCTAAAAATAAACATCAACTAAGCTACGCGAAACCGCAAGTGACGTCACCATGAAAATACCAATTCTAACGATGTATTATCACCGCGATTCCAAAAATTTTCAGGTGACTTGAGATCTGAAATCATCCAGTCGAATGTATCTAAGAGGAACCCCATAATCTAGCAAAAAGGATTCGAATTGGAACTCAAGGCTCATAAAAACTGAGGTCCAAAAATATTGAAATAAATATTTGACCGTTTTTGTTTTACTTTTTTCGTGGAGTTTTTGTTTTATAAGACGGTGGGTCAAACAAAAGGGAATTTAATATACAAGCGCAACAGGTAAGCTTCATCTGCGAAATACTACACGCGGGTGTAAAAATAACTGACTTAAATGGGGGATTCAAGTTTAAAAAAGTGGGGGTTAAGTTTAAGACAATCTATAAACAACTAACTCATGGACGGAGTTCTATTCTTAGTTTTGTACATATCTTTAGACAGAGTCGCGCGTATCACGCATTAAGACAGAATACAAATTTGTGAAAGTGCAATGTTTTTAAGGAATATTTATTGATATATTATATTGATGATACTGAGACGATCGAAGGTAAGTGGGTCTACGCTGTATTTGTACGCGTCGAGATTTGTTTGGGCAGTTTCGAACTTATTTTAAGTCCTTGGCGATTCGAAAATAGATTTTCGACAAACCAATGTAACGATTTAAAAAACGTTTTTCTATTAATGACGACCCGGTGCTGCTTTATTTGATCCTCGTTTACTATTAAATATAATGGCAAATATCAGTTAAATGTAAATCGACTTCTTAAAATTGTGGCACTTTCCCGTCTGTGCCGGTGACAACTCAAAAACTTATCTCAACCACATCCTTCGGCGGACTTACTCGCCCAGTGCTTCAGAATTTCCTCCAGTTTAATCAGTGTGTCATTAAGTTTACCAAGGGTGAGTGGAAATTTCTTTGTTTCAATGATAACATTTTTTTAGCCATTTTTTGAAAACCATATAAACGAACGGTTGCCGCAACGGCTATTTTAATTTCTGATTCATTCGCGAAATTTCAGATAAAATTTTGAACATTTTTATCTGGATATTAAAACATTTACGCTGAGTGTAATTAAAATTGCCATTGGAGGGCTTGTCAAAATATAATAGAAACGATAATGATAAAAAACAAAAATTATTGTGGCGCCAAAATTAAGCCCAGCACCTCCGCCGCAGTCTAAAAGCCACTTTTTTCCTGCTGATTACAAATACGTCGTTAATGCAATAACGACCATTTAACGATGTTATTGTCTTTCCGAAGAATGCACTCCTTATATTCCGACAGCCAGCCGATAAAAATTGACTAAGACGACTGACTGGACGCTTACCTCATCTTCGAACCCAGATAAACGGAAAAAAATACAATATTGCATTTTTGTTATTAAGCAAAGTCACGTAGCCAGTTTGGCTAATTCCTTAGAAGTGTTAAAAGCTACAAGTGAGTTTGTCGTTGCTCTCCAAATAATACCATGTTTTCTAACAAATAACGAAAAAAATATTTATTAAAATTAATGCATCAGTCAATATTGCGAAGATATACTTTTATTTGAAGAGTAAACGAAATTTTAAACGCAGACTTTGCAAAAGCACACCCATCCTTGTATGAATATTTATTTGCTTACACCGCTTCAGTATGCTTAAAAATTCTAATATTTTGGTTTATCAGAGAGAAAAACAACGATTTAAATATACTTAAGAATACAGGATGTTTTATAGCGTCGCTCGGTCATTATAAAGGAAATTTCGTAATACTTTGGCAAAAATTTGTTAACTTTATTTCAATTTAATGGTGCTCAAATTTGGAGAGAACTAGAATTTAGTTGTACCGAATGTAATTGATAAAAAAAAAGCAAGCAACTAACTTTGTGAAATCATTTTGCTTCGTTTACTAAAAAAACATAAAAATCACTGCACGTTACATGCAACATTACGTAATTTTCCATAAGTTGCTGGGGCTAAATGTTCGTTACAGAAGATCGCGTAAACGAATTCAGTTTTGCACGGTTTGTTTTCACCAATTTCTTCAAATAAACAGTTGTATGCGGTTAATTTTCGTATTTTATTAGGCTAATTTTATTTTCGGCAACAGTTGCTTTTAAGAGAAAAGAACTGGTGCAGGTTTCTAGCTTTTTTTCTGAAAATATTAGAACGCATAGAATATAACGAAAATAATAAACTCGTACGAAATATTAGTGATATTTCGACCTATGCCCGGCCACATATTCCTGCAGGGACTTAAAAATTTGGTTCAAAAACCCATGACACCCGAATAGCTAACTAACCAAAAAATTCAGAATATCCTACCCAAAATAATTGCATTACAGCTGTTGGGGTTTGGTATCTACGGATTTCCATCGTTTTCTGGTATTTAGCGTCGCGTTATGTCTTAGGGGTCGTAGGTGACGAAGTGGTCACGGCGGTCAACATCAGCAATCAGCATAGAGGTCTCTGAGAGATGAGCCAGTTTCCCTACCAAGGCGGCGACACCGGTTTGAGACCGGTCGAGCCACCGCCGGCATGTATTCAACAACGCGATGCCAACGAGTACTGCGAGTTAGATGCGGAGGACGATATGGTTTCGACGGAGCGGGAATTAGCAGAAGACGCTCAGTGGAAGAAAATCCAACAGAACACATTCACGAGATGGGCAAACGAGCACCTGAAGCAAGTATCGAAACACATCGGAAATTTGGAAACCGATCTAAGTGATGGACTGCGTTTAATCACCCTCATCGAAGTGTTGGCCCACAAAAGTCTGCCCAAGCACAACAAGAAGCCGTCCTTTCGTTCGCAAAAACTCGAAAATGTCTCCGTGGCGCTCAATTTCCTTCAGGAAGACGAAGGGATTAAAATTATCAACATCGGTGAGTACGCTGCAATTCCATTTTATAGCACAACGCCGCGATTTATGAGCAATTTAATAAGCAATAAAGTAACTACATAGTTGCTGCACGACGATAGGAAAACAATAGAACTTAAACCAAACCAAAATAAACCCGGCCTTACTATTTTAGAACTACTCATTCCGCGTTCCTTTTTTGCGCTACTTTTTGCCATTTTGAACTCGTTGGTATTTAACATTCGACATTTTAGGCCGTATCTTATTGTCGTTCAAACATTGCGAGTTAATAAAATTCTAAAAATAAAACGGTTATCGCACCTTTCTTGGGCAATTATCATTCCCGTTTACCAACTATTGTAACTTTCTGTAAAATATAAATAACAAACCAATGACAAAATCGGTTATTCTGGAGCAAAATGTTGTTCGTTAAATTGACTAAGTAAACATCGAGGTAAACATATTCAATGACTAAATCTTATCCGTATATAAACACAGTTTACCGTTTTGAACGAAACGCCATGAAAACTATGACGTACGTGAAAAAATCATCAAATTATTCGCTACGTGTATGGCAAACAGAAATTAATAAACACAAACAATTTTAGTGGCTTCTTCAATGACAATTAACCCATGAGGTCACTTTGCCGGCCATACAATGTTAAATCATAGTTATAAATAAAAATAGCTTCTCTGGATTAACTTTTATCGCAAGTTCAAAAAATTCAACAATTCAAAAGCTGCTTGCAGCGTAATGTTAATTTCAATGTTCCGTTACAAAGTCGTCGTGTTTCAATTGTCCACTAAAATTACGAGAAACAAAAGGAATTTTTAAAAGGTTTCATGTTTGCGCCTAAGCAATTATGTCATCCTTTTTAATAAAATTGATATATTATCGGTGATTTGTTGATAATGGGCACTCCAGAAAATCAAATTCGAAATGACGTTATCGTTTCGAAAATTGTGTACACAAACAGTTCTCGAGTGCATTAAAAAAAATTAAGTTCAGTAACTTATTTAATTTGTCAATCGAGCTCTATTAAATCGTGATTAAAATAATGGTGTCATCCATGACTTAAAATATTCAGCGGAACCGTAATGATGTCATCGTGGAAAGTATAAATTTAAAATTGTCCTCACTGAGTTATTGTTTTGCGCATAAACCAATGCCGCAACATAAAACAATACAATTGATTAATTTTATATTCACCTTTTTTTCCCGTTAGTCATTGAGGCATGTTTCGGAATGGAAGCAGATAAAAAATTGCCTACAGTTTCCGATTTTGGTTTTCAACTAGCAGCCTAGAAACTTTATGTTCCCTGAATGCAGACAATAATTTATTTAAGATCAAAGTTTTATAATTAGCTTTCTATGTTCGAGGAAAATTAAAGCAACTTAAATATTTTCTAAAGAAGCCAAATACTATATTTTGCTTGCTCGTTGTAATTGGTTTTTGAAGTTTTAAATTTAGGATTGAATTGTTAAATGAAGTAATTTTGGGTTTGACATATACATAATCTGTAATATTGTATCTTGTGCTTTGAAGAACATTTCCACACGCATGGATATTACAAAAATAATAACATAAAAGTTAGGGAGTGGACATTTTATCAAGGTCGCATTTTGTTGTAAGCGGAGGAATAATTAAATTATAGACCAAAGTCGATTGTTAACTTGGACCCCAAAAAAAGCGTGCATAAAAAATGAACGATTATCTTCACTCTCATCCGAAAACAGGTTAGACATCCAATTTTGAATAATACGCTATTTATGGTATAGTTTATATCGCCCGCTTACGGTATCGACCTTGTAACACATCAAAAAATATTTATAACAATTTGGGCCTATTTTTGGTGAATTTCCAAATGACTCGACTTGCCAAATAAATAATGGTGACCACAACGGAAGCCTGTAATTGTTATCTTAAAACGCTATGCTTGTTCTTAAGCGTCTGATAGAGAAATCGTAAATATTTAACGATTGAAATCATCAATTCCGTTAAACTGGTCTGCCGGTTTCCTATTCGGTGATAAAAATGTATTTGAACCGTAGACACTGTGCCCTTGGACGAGGATTACGTAATTCCGATTCTTCGAAACCGAAACGGTCCCACCATTCCATCGAAAACGCCCTCACACGTTTCAATGGAATTCTAGCAAATTTTTAATAATAATATTGGGAAACCATGCATTAATATGATCGTTTCCGCGTCGCACAGGAAGTTAACTATCTTATTTCAAGTGACAAATATTTACAACATACGCCAAATTTTTAAAACGCTCGAATTGAAAAAATAATTACCCAGAAGGAAGTTCTGTTGCATCTACAACAACAAAAATAATAATTTTAGTTTAAATTCTTCTAAACAAAACCAAAAACATGCCTATATATTTATCGGGCATTATAGCATGGAGCAAGATTGCTGTTGAGAACCTAAAACTATTTTTTATCCAATAATAAATCTAATTATTCATAAAACGAAATATAATGCACGTGTTTTACTTATTTCAGATTCCAGCCACATAGTCGACTGCAAATTAAAATTAATATTAGGTTTAATATGGACACTTATTTTACATTATTCAATATCTTTGCCCGTGTGGGAAGGCGAAGACGATATGAACAATGGTGGTACCGAACCAACACCGAAGCAAAGGTACTTTCGCTACAATTCAATCTGAATTTCATTGTAATGTCTTGTAAGCAAATACATTCACATGTATGAGATTTATTCCGTATATTAATTGGGTAGAAAAAGAAGTGCGATTTACTTTTACCACTATTTTAGGCTGATGAACTGGATACAAAGCAAAGTTCCAGATCTACCAATAAAAAATTTTACTACAGATTGGAACGACGGCAAAGCCGTGGGTGCACTAGTCGATTCTGTAGCTCCCGGATTATGCCCGGATTGGCCGGTAAGTATACCGGCAAAGCCCCGTCGAGGGGGAATTATAACAGGAAATTTAAAATCCTAGGACTGGGACCCCAAAGATTCCCTTCAAAATGCTTCAGAAGCAATGGGATTAGCCGACGATTGGTTGCATGTTCCCCAACTCATTAAACCGGAAGAAATAGTAAATCCAAATGTTGATGAACAGTCGATGATGACTTACCTCTCCCAATACCCGAATGCTAGATTAAAACCTGGAGCGCCACTGAGACCCAGAACCAGTCCCAATAAGTAAGTGGCGCCGAATTGCAACGACAAAATGACTCCGGGATTTTTCCATTTTTTTACAACTTGCGTCTTTTGTTTTTATGAAAATATTAATCAATTTCTTTGTTTACATTCAGAATTGCCCCACCTAGGTAAGTCATCGTGGACAAATAATAGAAAAGGCCTTTATTAACATACGATTTGATGTTTTTCTATAAAACGCGCTACTAACCTAAAATACAGAGTGTCCTCCGGTTTTTGGTGCAAATATTACAAATTATGTATTCGCCAGATACATTGAAAAATTTTTGTTTAGTGCTTTTGTTAGACTCTATCGGGTGTTTCAAATTCGATGGGATATTGGAGAGAGTAAAAGATAGGTTACAAAAATCAAAGCTATATCTGGTACTACTGGATCTTCAATTTATTCCAAAAACATCCATAACTTCTTTTTTCCCACGCAGATGTCAATTTTATTTTTTCTTTTGACCAAACCTATTGGATATTTCCAATTTTTGAGTAGCCCCCGTCATTAAAAGAGCTCCCATAAGAAAATAATCTTCATTTCTAGATTTTCTTCTATTTTTTTTTTAAGTAATCGCTACAAAAGTTCCTAGATCCCACGGGTGAGAGCTGAATTGGAAACACCCTGTATATAACTAATACCGTCGCAGTAAACAAAAAAATTTCTTTCAGGGTTCGAGTATATGGTCCGGGAGTGGAACCCACCGGCCCCATAGTTGGTGCTGCGGCGAATTTCACGGTAGAAACTTTTTCTGCCGGTAAAGGCCACGTAGAAGTTGTAGTAGAGAATCCTAGAGGCCAGAAAGAACCGGTCGACGTCAGATTTAACAACGACAGAAATTTAACTTATACGGTATCATATACGCCACAAATGGAAGGGGCGCATAAAGTACACGTTAAATTTGCCGGAAGGGATGTGCCGAAAAGTCCATTCGTGGTGAAAGTTGAGGGACACGCCGGTGATCCGAGCAAAGTCACAGCGTCCGGTCCTGGACTCCAGCCTGATGGAATTTGCGTTAACAAACCCACATACTTCGACATATTTACTAAAAGTAAGTTTGGTCATTTTTGTTTAATACCTCCCTATCAATTAATTATTTCCTTATGACATATCATTTAAAGGGGTTTTTAATCCTCTTCCTAGAGAGATGATAAAATATATACTGTTATTTGCAAATCTGCTGGATTCTCTAGAGCTTAACTAAAACTGGTTTATTTATTTATTTGTTTACATATCGACAATTTAGGTCGCATACAGTATAAAGGACCAAAAAAGCATCTTAAACAGATAGGTAAGATAAGTCAATCTAAACTTTAGCAATTAGCAGCAAGAAATAAATATCGTCTTATATCCCAGCAAATATTTTTTCACAAGGTACTTAAAACCTTCAATAACAGTAGTATTTGTTGTGTGTGGTGGAGAACTCTGTCCTATGTTGGTTCGATAGTGGTCAATATCAAATAGAGCGTCTTGCGTTCTGCCTTGGGGTTCTTAATTTTTGATAACAGATAAGGAGACTCAACTTGACTGTTTAAAACTTTGTGGAGGCTTAACAGGTCTGTTAGCATTCCTTTGTTTTGTATTGATTGTAATCATGGTTTTCAATATTAGTGATGACTAAAGTGAACGAATATTTACTGTGAGCAAACGCATAGTACAGTCCAAAATACGATCTGGGCCTTTTTTTTCGATGCTCTTAATGCTCTCCCCTTATGAGTCTCAAAAGTTCACTCAAACTAATGATAATTTCCCATTCTTAGATATTCTTATTAATAGAAAATCAGACCTAAAGACCTAAAATTGGGTCATTTGGTTTAGAGAAAACTTACACACAGTTACCTTATTGCATTGTCATATCACCATCCGGCCCAAAAATCATCGGTTATCAACTCTCTTGTTGACAGAGCCGTAAAACTATCTCACCTCGAGTCTCTAAACTCATAATTAAAACACCTTACATCTTCTCCGTCTAACATTGAATCATTCAATCTCCAGAAAACCTATGCACACAGATCGACACGTTAATGGACTGGACCCAGAATTAAAACATCTTACGTTGGTAAGAAATATGTTAAAATCAGATTTACCACTTGCCTAAAAATCTCCCAACATCTTCGATCCATAATACGCGTCAAAGAATACATTGGAGAATACTAGGCTAAAAGAACATGACTAAGACAAATAAACTCATCGACACTTGCCGAATTATGAGACTGGACTAAAATTTTTAAGAAAATCAATTATTCAATGTTAGAAAGTTTGATTTGTTGATTTGATTTATTATTTTTGTTTCCGCCAGTATAATCGCACATTTGGCGCGCTCCTATGTATTACGGAATGCATGAATTAAAATGTGGCTCTAATAAAGATTTAATTAGAATTATGCTTTTTGAGGGAAAATAAAATCCAATAATCTACAGGGTGTCCCAACGTCTTCGATGTAAACAGCTAAATTTTCATAACGGCTTTGTTAAGGGACTATAAAAAGTAAAAAAAATATCTAAATTTGCCAAAAAATCAGTAATACTTTCAAAGGGTTTCCTAGAATTGATTTTAGAATTGAATTTATTTCAGACGCGGGAAGGGGAGTTCCGGAAGTAATAATTTTGGATCCATCAGGGAATAAAAACTCGGTGCCGGTAAAAGTGCGTCAAACCAGTCCGGACCTTTGGAGATGCGAGTACATATCGTCGATAATCGGTCTACATTCCGTTAACATATTCTTCGCTGGTCAACCGATTCCCAATAGCCCATTTGGAGTGAGAGTGGCGCCTGTCTCTGACCCCCGAAAGGTTAGAGCTAGCGGAAGGGGACTGCAACCGAACGGTGTGAGGGTAAAAGATGAAGCCGACTTCAAAATTTACACCGAAGGGGCGGGTGAAGGATTTCCGGACGTTCAAATTATCGGGCCTGGTGGAGTGAAGGAAGTCGTGAGAATGACGAAAGTCGAAGGAAATACGTACCACTGCGTGTACTATCCGGTTAAAGAGGGAAGATACCGGGTGATGGTCACTTTTGCAGGGCAAGAAATCCACAAGTCGCCGTTCGAAGTAAACGTGGGGCCGTATAAAGAGACGCTTATTAGAGCTTACGGCCCAGGTTTGGTGGGTGGAGTTGTAAACTATCCGGCGCTGTTTATGTTGGAAACCAACGGTGAAACGGGTGCTCTAGGTTTCAGCATACAAGGTCCGTCGCAGGCAAAGATTGAATGTCACGATAATGGTGACGGTTCGGCGGATCTGAGGTACTATCCGACCGCACCTGGAGAATACGCGGTGCATATTTTATGCGACAACGAAGACATTCCCCATAGCCCTTATATTGCTCAAATTTTGCCAAACACGGATTACTACCCCGAAAAAGTCGACGTGTACGGCCCCGGTATAGAACCCAACGGACCCCAAAAAGACAAACCGGCCAAATTCACCGTAGACACCCGGAAAGCGGGTTCCGCACCTTTAGACGTCAGAGTAAGTTGGAAAACTCGGTTGTGGTGGCGGAAATCTTTTAAAAAATATCTTAGGTTACAGATGGAAACTGCAATAAAGTAGACCTGAAATTGGTCGAAAAAGCTGATGGGACCATCGAGGGAGTCTACACTCCAAAAAGTGGCAATCGACACACGGTGCAAGTAAACTATGGCGGAGTCGCCGTTAAGAATTCGCCTTTCAGAATTAACGTATCAGAACCGGTGGACGCCTCCAAAGTGCAATGTTTTGGACCAGGTATTCAAGATGGCGTGAAAGCGGGAAGTCCCACACACTTCAACATCGATGCCAGGTATTTACGTTGTACGGTCAACCTCATGGTTCAGACTCAGCTTGAAAATGTTTTTAGGCTACGTATGACTTAATTTTATTTAAATTTGGGGAATATATTTTTACTTATAACATTAAATTTTACATATTGGTTAAAATAGGCAGATTACAAATACAATGACCCCATCAAAGTTTATACCTTCTGGTGATAATGCAATGCTATGCTTTTTAGTAGTTGTATGTATGTAAAAATATGTATATATTATAACTCCTTTGAGAGCCACCAAATTAAATAGTAGGTGACATTTTTACTTTTTGAAATGCTTAGCTGCCTTCAACAATATTTAATACTATCACTTATTTTTCTATTAAAAATTACGCTTAATGACTAATTGGGCAACTGATCAATTGTTGGAGATTATAAACTAATTTTATTAACAATTCATGTATTTAAGTAGTAAGATGAATAAAAATTAATTTTAGCAAAACTTATTATTATCAAGGTTGCCATGAAAACAAATTTTGTTTTTAACTGAACGAACTCTATGCATCTTTCATGTCGTTATCAGATGCTTGTCAAGTTTCGATTGGCTACGCTACTGCTTTAATTAGTTTAAATTTGTTAATATTTATCCAGTGCCTAGAAGAAATCTTCGCTTTAGGAACGAAAAAAATACTGATTATTTCAATACATATTTTACTAATTAAATAATTCAATAAATAATAAAATTGGTTCGTCTTCAACGATTGATTAGTTTCGGTTAGTTAACTAAACCTAATTATTAATCGAAGAGTAAGAGGACGTGATAACACGAAATATTTGAAAACGACTTAGCATGTCAAAACATAGAAATATCAGGTACGAGCTAATTTGATGTCCGAATGTATTGTGAAAATGTAAGAAAGATAAATAACACTTTATTCTGATTTTTAAATATCATTTGGCTAAATAATCAGTTAGCAATTATTTTACAAATTCAGGATAATCAGACAAAATAACGATCCGCATAGTGGAAAATTTTCATTAACTTCGTTTATTCATATATTTAGGTTAGTATAAAGATATTGACATGCGGCTTTTACTGTGTTGTTTGGCCTTTATTTGCATATCTAATGATCTTAAAAACTTATATCGAAAATTATTTTCTCCATCTGGTGGCAAGATAAGTTATCACAATCGCATGATTGGTAGCTTAGAAGAAGCCTTTTTTAACCACTCCAAATGTATTAAAATACGTTAAGCCTTTTTTGAGATTTATTTAAAAAAATATTCACCACTTTCCTTGCCGAGATAGACAAAACAGCATTAAATAATAAAGATTTAAACTTGTCTCAGCATGGTTAACTTTTCAAAGACACCTCGACAGGCTACTGTAATGCTATTTACAAAACTTCTTTATTCCTCCTGCTTGGCTTGTTGTTGAATCAAACTTGCTGACTTTTCACCAATCATAAAATTTTATATCCGGTTTAGTGACTGTGTTCGGCAACTGCTGATAAGTTTATTTGTCGTAGTCTTAAGGCTCTTTCATGTTCTTTGAGCCTAGTTCTGTAAACTTCTGGTATCTCAAACGGAATTTTGTCTTTGACGGATCGAATATGTTGAGAGATTTTTTGTTTTGACGTTATATTTCTTAAGAATTCTTGATATGTGGTCAATGATGAATGAATGATAATGAACAACAGACATCGCAGACAATGTTCATCCCCTTCTTTAGCTCCGCCCCCTCAAATAATATATAAACAAATTTTTACAAATTCCAATCAAATTTCTAGTCTAGACTACTGGGGCATCTGAAAAATTCGGGCACCACGGGTGATCAATTGGAATGATTTTATGCTTAAACTATAACATTAATTTAAAAAAAAAGGATTGTCTCTCATATGGCATAATCCTACAGGGAAGCCGGTGATGCGGATTTAGATGTTCACTTAGTTAACGAAGACACTCATCAAGAGATACCCGTAAAGCTGACGGACAACGGAGACAGAACCTACACCGTGGACTACGAAGCGCCTCAATCGGGAACTTACACCGTGACTCTCCATTATGGTGGCTTGAAGGTGCCGTCGACTCCGGTAAAGTTCAAAGTTCAACCCAACGTGGACGTTTCCAAAATTAAAGTCGACGGCTTAGAACCAAGTAAGTAGTTTGACATTCGAGCCACTGTGTACTCAATGATTGACCATGTTGCTCTGTGATTAGCCGCCCCGATAAATAGTTTGCAACAATTTCGAGTTATTACTCAAGACGCGGGCAAAGCTGAGTTTGCTATTTCTATAACTAGCCCATCGGGCAGCAAAGTGAAAGCTCACGTCATCCCCACGCACGAAGGTTACTTAGTAAATTTCACCCCTACCCAGTTGGGAGAGTACTTGCTGGGGATTTCGTTTGGAGGGGAGCCCATCTCCCACCGGCCTTTTAAACTGACTTGTTTAACCGGAAGTGACCCGCTCAAAGTCAAAGCCTCTGGTCGCGGTCTTCACAGAGGGATAGTCAATAGACCAGCGGAGTTTATGATAGATACCAGAGGCGCGGGCCAGGGCGGTTTAGGGGTAACCGTCGAAGGCCCTTGCGAGGCGGCGATTAATTGTCGCGATAATGGTGATGGCACTTGTTCTGTGGCCTATTTGCCAACGGAAGTTGGCGATTACGGAATAAATATCACATTTAACGACAACCATATACCAGGCAGTCCTTTTCAAGCCATAATCGTGCCCGAAGTTGACATGAACATGATCAAAGTGTCCGGGAGCGGGATTCAACTACATGGTAAAATGGGTGTGCGTGTACATTCGATGTGTGATTAACTGGATCTCGACCTGCCTGCGGTTGATTTGGATTTCGCGATTAATTAATCCGACTAATTTTAACGCATTAGTGGTTTATTCGTTGTTCATTTTTTCTAATTTGCGATTTTGTTGCGCATGCGTCGTAATCCGAATCGTAATTCCTCTCGTTTTTTTAGGCGTCTACGTGGATTCACCTACCGATTTCCTCGTCGATACTAGGGGAATCCCGAAATCAAGCGACGACGGTAAAGTGACGTGTACGATCACTAATCCCTCGGGAGCTCAGACTGAAAAACTCGTGACGGCTCTACTGGATGGTACCTACAAAGTGAGCTACACGCCCTTCGAAGAAGGTCGTCACACAATCGACATATTTTACGACAACGTAGCGGTGCCAGGATCACCGTTTATAGTGAACGTGCGACGCGGATGTGACGCTAAGAAATGCATAGCTTACGGTCCAGGTTTGGAAAACGGGGTTCTCAACAAATCGAACGTGTTTACTGTTGAAACCAAAGGTGCGGGCACCGGAGGTTTGAGTTTAGCAATCGAAGGACCCTCCGAAGCGAAGATGACTTGTAAAGATAATAGAGACGGTTCTTGTTCCGTCGAATACGTGCCTAATGAACCTGGTGAATACGATGTCGCAATCAAATTCGCTGATAATCACATTCCAGGATCACCTTTCAAAGTGTTGGTCGGTGCCGAAGTGGATGAGAGTTTAGTTAAAGCGTACGGTCCCGGTTTGGAGGCCTCCAAATGCAGGAGCGGAATACCTACAAAGTTTAAAATAGATGCGTCGAAAGCCGGACCAGCTCCGGTAGCGGTTAATATCACGTCCGATTCTGCGCCCCTTTCGAGACGGCCGGAAGTGAAAGATAACGCTGATGGCACGTTCGATGTGTCTTATACACCTCCGAGTGAGGGTACTAACCTAGAAGCGCATATTCTTTACAACGGCAAAGAAATACCAAATAGTCCTTTTCCGGTCAAAGTGAGACCCACGGTTGAAGCGGATAAGGTTAAAATCACAGGACCTGCGATATTCGACAAAGGAATTCCAGCTTCGATTCCGACGACCATCAAAATTGATACCTCAGACGCAGGGTTCGGAGAGTTGAAAGTTAAAGTGACAGGTCCAGATGGTAATCCTAGACCGGTAAAAATTAAGGAAAATGGAGACGGAACTGTAAACGCTACGTTCTTACCCGATGACTGTGGACGTTATAAGCTCGATGTAAAATATGGCGGCAAAGATGTTCCAAAAACTCCGATACCGATACAAGCTTACGCTATAGGAAACGTAATTTTTTTTGGATATTTCAAATTGAACAGTGTCTAAAAAATTATGTCGTAGGCTGAAAAATGCACGATCACGGAAGGTCTTGAGAAAACGATATCCAGCGGCGAATCTTACTGCATTACGTTGAATACTGAAGATGCGGGTAATGGTGCAGTGACGTGTAGGATTAAATCCGTGAACGGAAGGTGAGATAAAAAAAAGAGCGATTTTTAACATCTCGATGGTGTAATTGTTTCCTAATGTTATAGCGAGTTGGATATAAATATAGTAGACAATGCGGACGGCACTGTCAGCATATACTATACCGTCGAAGATGCCGGAGAGTATACCATTAATATCAAATTCGGTGGACTGACGGTGCCGGGAGGATTCTACACTTTTATGGTAAGCAAAATGTTAATATTGTTAATACTTTGCTGAAGAGGATGAATCAACGATAACGTTGATTATCTCATTGGTTTGAAAAATGATGAGAAAATGGTAAATACAGAAGTCACGATTTAAATTATTTTTTTAAATGGAACATCCTATTTCTAAATTTTATTTTGAATTCGTTTTGAAATTTTTGCAATTTTGTTATTAATATAAATACCTACTTACATAATACTTTAATTTTTCTAAAAAAATACTGCTTTTCGCACGGATCGCGCATATTTGATATTAGCGTTATTGGTAGATGAAGTAAAAAATATATGCAACGGAATTTTAATTAGATGCTACACTGTATATTTTAAATTGAAAAATGTTGATTTTATTAAATGGTACATCATATATATTATTATCTTTTCTCAAAGATTTTACACAACCCTACAACTTTTATTAAGTTTGTCATATACCTAAGAGTATCGCAATAATATTAGTTGTCCCTGAGGAAAGTATTAACCAACAGGGCCCTGCTGAGGTTAAAAAAATCGACAGGAGACAGAACTTGGAGCCGTAGATAAAGTTGAAAACATCGGCAAAATTTTAAGTTCACACACTATTTTGCTGAAACCACATGTTGGATGTCAATGTTAACAACTTCTTGAAGAAGTTAAGGTAAACTATTCTGCATTAAGTCATTCCCGAACGTCCAGTAACTTTAAAGCGCTTTATTCCACACCTTTCCCGTACCCAGAATAATAATGCATAGAATGTATAGGAATTCGTGTTGTAGTTCCATATGGAACTTTCAAATTGGATGTATCACATAATCTAGCTTCTTGACGGCTACTGACCTGGGGATTATCTTGAACATAAAGTAAAATTTCCAGTTTTTTTCCGTATTGGTAGCATTCCGGTTTACCACTTTCCCTTTTTTTATATTCAATACTACTATTAGCATCAACCCGTTGCATTAAACACTGAAGAAATTGTCCAGTTGGTATACGTCTATTAGTATACTTCGCCTTACTGCCCAAAAAATATTTTTCCGCCTCACCCAGTATATAAATCATATCAATTAATTTAGCTGTAGGAAAATCCGTTCTTAGTTTTCTTCTAAATTTAATGACACCACAATAAATTTTATGTAATTATTTACTCAGCTGTCTATGAGATAATTAATTTAACTCTATCGTTAACTCACCATGTAAAATATATATAGAATACAAAGTTCGTCCTAAAAAGTGATTAATAGTGATAAAAGTTAATCACTGGCAACTGGCACTAGTATTTCTTTGATCGTTTTTTTTTATTTACTGCTACGCTTGATTGAATAACTTCAGCATGCCAAACGGAATAATTGATGCATTTTTTGGCAATGACAATGTGTGTCAATCCCGTGCCTTCTCCGAAAAACTTCTGCGCGAAGTAATTGATGTTTTTTTTACGTTTCCGTTTGTTTATGCCTATCTAAAACGCTAATTTATTTCATGCAAACCGTAAAAGCAAATTAAATACGATCGCGATATTTTTCGTGTAACATTTAAAATTGTTGGCATCGTATTTAAGCACTTGCATTAACGCGGGACAAGTGTCGTCTCTCTCAGATTAATTGACAGAGCAGCGTCCCGACGCTTGGCATCGGCGGCGGCCATCCTCGCACCTGATATTCCATTAAAATACTTTATATTCTCGAATGTAAGGAAATTTATGATTAATATACGTCAAAAGTGAATCAGATAAAATAGACGTCTAATAAGATGTGGAAAAAAATTAAGCGATCCCAGAGCATCCTTCCTGTCTTGCAGTTTTGTACTTATTTTTGATAAAATTATAACAGACGAATTCGTTCGAAAATACCCGAACAAATTCTTGTTCTCACCCACCAGCTTTCGAAAATTTTACATGCATAAGATTTAATTGTCTCCAGTCTGGTGATGCGTTTTGTGTAGTTACCCGCCATAGGTATGTCCGTCGCTTTTAGTTTGCATTTTTTGCAATGGTTTCCTTAAAAAGGTGATCTTCTATGTGAATTTCCTTATAGGTTTTTAATTTATTTTTATTCGCGCCAAAAATTCAAGACGATAGACTAACGTCCACATTAAAGAAATTTTTTTCGCAGGCAATACTTATTGGGTTTAAAAAAATATCGAAAATTCGGGAAAATAATTTTACGTGCACAAATTAAATTTTGACGTGTCATATTTATAGAATGATCTATTTATAGGAAATACATTTTATATGTAAAAGTGTCAAAGGCACGTATTATACATCCGCATATTTCCCAGCATTTCAGACAATTATTATAATAACTTTTAACCATTCGTACTATAACTATGATACATCATAATTGTATTTAGATCAATAATATTATTATTGTTGATCACCAATAATACGAAAAAGCTAACGTTTTAAATAAAAAAATCCAATAACATAATTCTAAGTAAAATGAAACAAATTCATTTAAAAATGTGGCGCGTCAAAAAGTAGATGTCGCTACTAAGTTCCTTTTTTTTAATAGAACATCATTTTTTTAAATATGTTTTCGAATTCTTATACTTTTCATAAGCAAAAAAAAAATAGAAAATAAAAATTTAATTTTGAATTTAACACGTAAGTAGCTAGTATCAGTAAAGTTCTCAAAGAAAGTGAATATGCCGCATCTGAATGAAACCCAGAGAATAATAACTTTCATTTTTGTTGGATGAAGAAACAAAACGAGAACTCAAAAAGAAGTTTGTAATTTTTGAATGCAAAATATCCAGAAAGACCCATTACCAGATCCGCACTTCGTCTACGATCAGGTGGTCCAAAATCTAATGAGAACACAAGATTAACATTTTATTAGAATGACAACCCCATATTATGAAGTAGCTTTAAATAATGATATTAGTCAACGAACAGCTTTTCATGTATTAAAAGAAGAAAAGTATCATCCATACAAGATTACAATACTACAGGAGCGAAGATGATTCCGGCCGCTCAGTTTTGTGAAACTATGATGAAAATGTACAACTTTCCATCCATTTTTTAATCGTCGTTTAGTGATTAATAAATCAAATAATCCCCAATGGATGGATTGGTAGAATGAGATCAATAGATGACCTGCAAAATCTCCAGATATTACTCCACTGGATTTTTGTCTCTGAGGATATTTAAAATCAAAAGTGCTTTTGGAAAAACCACAAAATTTAGAATTAGATACGAAATTAATGACGTAGAATTCGAAAATGGAATTTAAAAAAATGGTGTTTCATTTTAAAAAAAAGGAACTTGGTATCGACATCTACTTTTCGACACACCCTGTATATTTTGCGATCAATTTTTTTGAATTCCAATGTATGATTTTTAGATGAATATGTTACATATTTTAGCCGTTTGTTGTATAAGTTCTACCAATAAAATACTTTTAGCATAACCTTTGGAAAGTTAAGTACCAACATGAAAATACGAATATAATTTTAACCCAAAAAACACTTGAAAACAAAAACATCAATTAAGTACAATGAAATTTACGCCAGAATATTTACGACTCTAATTACACTGTGTTAATTTTGTAAAATGACTTGGATAAAAGCCAGTATTGGCCACAATAAATTAATTTAAATTCAAACCTAGTTTAATTAGCGAGTTCTACTTTATAACGTTTTAAACCCAAAATGATTGACCGAATATTATCTTTTAAACCACATGTGATACATTTTTGCAACTTTTATAGATGCCGTTTGATTTTTATCGCCTGATATTTACGCAAACGTGTAATAAAATAGTAAAAATAGCGAAACCGTCATTGGAGTGAACTAAACAAATTTTAATAATTTTGAAATATCGAAAATTAATTTATCGGAGGAGGAGAGAACTTCAAAGGAACGCGTCTTCATCCGTTTGTTCTTTAAAAATAACTTTATTTATTTAAAAATTGAATTACGAAAACAATTGTAACATCTGTAGAAACAAAAATAACACGCGTCTCACGTAAATATTTATTTTTCCACGGAATATGGCGAACTGCATTTTTCGATTTTTTAAAGCGATATTCAAGACGAAAAATCAAAAACTTTTCAATTATTAATTTCCACGATATCATCGTGTAGATATCACTAAAAAATACTATAATGGCGCTAAAAAGAATTACTTAGTTGTAGCACCGAAATGAAATAATAATTTATCACAGGCTTAATCCTGTAGCCAAAATATTGCGCGTCGTCACAGGATTGGCAAATGGCTCCTAGTTTACCTGATTTTAATTAATTATTATGTTGGTGGCTGAAATTTTTAATTTGTAAGTTAACGCAGAACTCTAATTTCCGTTCGCAGAAGAGCCACAAAATTGCATTCGTGTTTTATATATTTAGCACGCTGCACCTGTATTTAATTTATCAAAAATTTAAAATTACAGCCATCACTATCAAAATCCGTATTTGCTACGGTATGAGGGGTTCCAATATAAATATTTAGAAAAAAAAAATACGGAACACGTTATTGTGAAAAGCTTTTACTTTGGAAACAATAATATATTTATCAAGAGTTGGCACTATTTCAAGAGCCTCGAATTTTTGAAAATCTATTATGATTTGTGTAGCAACCATAATTCAAACTCATATGTATGCCTAATAAAATGCATTTTTTCGAAAATTTAGCAAAATGTAACATTTGTCTCATACGAAGCACTCAATCAATATTTGGCAACTAGTCAAAGCGTTTGAAAACGATTTTGCAACTTTCCAACGATACTAGAATATATGCCAAATTTTTAGAAAATTGACGGTAAAGTATATATGGTGTGTCACCCTTCTAAAATCTTTGTTTATGATTCGATTTTGATTTTTTTTTGACAGATCTCTCAAAAACGCATTAAAACCTGTCTATTCAGGACTACCTAAAACCTCACCATAGTAATTTCCGTGAAGAGTAAGTGTTCGAAATAAGACGGACGTTTCGCTTAAGCACTAATCCTGAGAACGTTTGTTTATGGCTCAATTTTGATCTCTTTTTTTTTTGACAGATTTCGCAGCTGAAACGGTTTTTTTTTTCGTAAGGCATCGACCAAAGTCATGACAACAGCATGAATAAATCTAAAGTATGCGAAAGGTATAACTAATTCTCTAAGGCGACTAAGGAATGGATGATGAAATTAGGTAAACATTCATAAAAGTACTTCGCGATTTTCCGATTCAAGAAATTTTACCAGTTGGCCATGATTTTAGAAAAAAATCGTTTCAGTACGATTTCTCCAACAAAAAAAAAATACTGTCAAGATTTTACAGGGATGTACATCCTTAAGCGACGCGCAAACACCCTGTATTGCAACATGGATAGTACTTTTTTCTCTCTGTTAAATAGTCCCAGTTTGCCATGACTTTAGGTTGAAGCAATAAACAAAACAAGGTTATGCATTTTTCAAAATCGAACTATAAACAAAGATTTTACAAAGCTGTACAGTTCTTAAGTGGGACAGACTGTATGGGTACAGGGTAATACTAACTGAAATGGACAACGAAAAATGTTAGCTGACAAAAAGCATTAAAGTATTTGGTAAAATTCCTATACCAAGCGTCTCGTAAGTCATAGTTATAGGCAGGGAAAAAGGAGGTTATCTCTTATCAACATGTCAATTTTGGACGAATTAAATTTTTTTTCTGTAAAAAAAGATCACGATGTTGTGTTGCTTCCTGGGAAATTCTATTTTCTTTAAAAAATCTTAGTTGTTTAATTTGTCTAATAAAACTGTTTGTGTCATAGAGAACGGTTGAATATAAAATATATATAACAACAATAATAATAATAATAATAACAGGACTTTATTAACCAAAGGTAAGTCTAGTCAGTGACTATTCATAATCCTGTGAGGTATTTACAGCATGAACATAATCAATAATTTTTATAAATAAAAAATATATATACAAATATTTATCATCCCTTTGCGTTTCAACCATGACTTATGCGACACCCTGTAATAACACACACACAAACACACACACACACACACACACACGCACGCACGCGCACACACACACACACACACACACACACACACACACACACACACTCACACACATGCACGCACGCACGCACGCACGCACACGCACGCACACACGCACACACGCACAAAGGCACACACGCACACACGCACACACGCACACACGCGCACACACACGCACACACACACACACACACACACACACACACACAAATTTGCGAGAATAGAACGGCTTTAGTTTGATTGTAAATACTAACGGAATACGAGGAAAAGATGTTATTTACAAATCTTAAAATTACAGAATGTTGACTGCACATCTGCCTAAGTGTATTGGTAGATAATAATTTATGTATAAAAATTAGCAAATGATATTTATGAAAATTATTAATCCTAACCAACCACTCCAATTGATTTATTTTCGCTGATACCCTATCATATTTACAGAGGCCGTAAACAAATCTGCAACATAGATTTTGGAGTTTTTAAAGTCTCTTTGTATCGTAAAACAGTAAATAATGTCGTAACAGTTAATAAGAAACAAGACGATACTTTCGCACAACTCCTTCCTCATTTTTAAGTTATACTCATATTTTTATACAATTGTCTAATAGCTAAATATGATGCTTTTAATCAGATTTGAACTGCAAATCATCTCCAAATATTATTCCTTTTTTTTAAACTTGTTTACAACTGTTACTTCAACATTATTTATATGAATTTTGAAATTCGAAATGTTTAAAAATTGTTGTTTTCTTGTCTGGATGAATAACATAACATTGCATTTAATAGAGTTGAGCTTAAGGCCATTGCTAATTCTGATATTTTATTCAGATCGTTATTTATAGATCTGCACGCCAATTGGAAGATATCGGCTGTATAAACTAAAAATAGAATGGGTCCAAGGACCGAACCTTATGGCACCCCGGACGTGATCCCATAAGTATTCGAGACGGTATCAAAAAATAAAACTCGAAATATTATATAACTCTTTGAACAGGAATTAAATTTATTACCTCTTTGAGTTTCGACCATGACTTATACGACACCCTGTAACAAATTATTTAATTGTTAAGTCAAATTGATTTGTGAAAAGAAGAAAAATATTTATGAATTCTTGCACAAGACTTCAACTACATAAGAAAACACTTTTGATAGCGGTGAGTTTTTAATATTACAGGCAGAAGAGGTAAGCAAGACAGAGAAAACCAGCATCACTCAAACCGAAAGGAAAACAGCAAATAGCACTCAACAGAAGCAATATCGAGCTGTAAACTTAGACAACATCCCATTGCCCAGCACAGGTGGACACGTGACAGGTAAAGGAATATTGGGAAAAAGTTTGAAACATTTTAATATGTGAATATCTTCAATCCCACCGCCAAGTATAATTTTGACACGAATAACATATCTTGGTATTTTTAGATGTCAATATTATTCACCTAACACATTTTCTGATATAGCGCAACTAGTCATCATAGCGCGCAATGATACCAATCTTCCTAATATTCACGATATCTCGCCATTCGGTTTCAGTTTAGTCTTCTTTGAAATTCTGCTGGATTCGGTTTATCGCGGAAAGTTCGTATCAAATGATGTTTTAAATTTCGGCTGATAATGTTCTCTTGGATAAATATACCGCAAGTCTCCGAAGCGACTTGGTCCGAAGTAACCAGACTTTACATACCAAATTTTAAGTATATAACGCACTCGGAAAGGGATAAAGAAGAATTTCCTACCATTTACAGAAAAGTGCCGTCTTTACCCATCGGCGGCAAAGGTTTTGGTGTTGATTTCACTCCACTTACGTTTTTGTCTTGCTACTCTGTTGACACTCGCAAAGGTAACGCTCAAATTAAGTGCCTCGTTACAGGAGCGATGAAAAGCGCTTAAAACCGGGATAAGTTGTGATTTTTTTTAATGAAATAGTTAATCCATTTCGAAGTAGTAAACGATATTGGAACTATTTTCTTTGCATCGGGTGCTTGGCTAATTTGACCTACATCGAATTCCTAATTAAACGAAAATATTTAAACTCAAATGTCACTCACTTAAATATATCTCCGAATTCGCCAAGGAAAAATATTTTTATTGACACGCAGGAAAATATTTTCGCAACGGCACAAAGATGTCGATTTCCAAAAATATAAAGTTTAATAAACTCTTCATAAAAATTCGTCGAATAAAAAATGGAAAAAGCGCTTTGCAAATTTGGTGGGGGTTCTTAAAATATAACCCGGGATGTATGACAGCTCAATATAACTCCATACGGGGCGACTGCTAATGCTTTGTCACTAATTTGCAGCGGAAATAAAAATGCCCAGTGGAAAATTCGACAGGCCAGTAATAGAAGATAATCACGACGGTACCGTCTCGATCAAATATGAACCACGCGAAGAAGGCGTTCACGAACTAGCAGTAAAATTCAATGGCGAACACGTGCAGGGCTCCCCGTATAAATTCCACGTGGATTCCGTCAGTTCTGGATACGTAACAGCTTATGGACCGGGTCTCACCCATGGAGTTACTGGCGAACCTAGCAACTTTACCATTTCAACCAAAGGTGCCGGCGATGGTGGCCTTTCTATGGCGGTAGAAGGACCGAGCAAAGCTGAAATTAGTTGTCACGACAACAAGGACGGGACCGTGTCAGTATCTTATTTACCTACCGCCCCTGGGGAGTATAAAATTTCCGTCAGATTCGGAGATAAACATATAAAAGGCTCACCGTTTTTCGCGAAAATAACAGGCGAAGGAAGGAAAAGGAACCAAATATCTGTTGGTTCCTGCAGCGAAGTGTCGCTTCCTGGTAAGATATCGGACGCGGATATTCGATCCCTTAACGCCTCTATTCAGGCACCCAGCGGTTTAGAAGAACCGTGCTTCTTGAAAAGATTGGCGAACGGCAATATCGGCATATCTTTCACTCCGCGAGAAATAGGAGAACACGTGGTCTCCGTCAAGAAAATGGGACACCACATAACGAATTCGCCATTTAAAATAAACGTGTGCGAACGCGAAGTCGGTGACGCTAAAAAAGTTAAGGTATCGGGCAATGCGCTTAAAGAAGGCAAGACCCACGTAGAAAACACGTTCGTTGTGGACACTAGAAACGCCGGGTTTGGAGGTCTTTCGCTATCCATCGAAGGTCCTAGCAAAGCTGAAATCCAATGCACCGACAATGCGGATGGTACCCTAAACATCTCTTACAAACCAACCGAACCAGGATACTACATCGTGAACTTGAAATTCGCGGATCATCACGTAGACGGGTCACCCTTTACTGTTAAGGTGACAGGTGAAGGCTCCAACAGACAACGCGAGAAGATTCAACGGCAACGAGATGCCGTACCCATCACTGAGGTTGGAAGCAAATGTAAATTGACTTTCAAAATGCCAGGTGAGTCGGTAGTATGGCGTAGGAATCAAACCAACCTAAACAAATCAACGGAATTTTGCTTATAGGGATAACATCATTTGATCTTGGTGCTACCGTCACGTCTCCAGGGGGTGTCACGGAAGACGCGGAAATCAACGAAGTTAAAGACGGACTATATGCGGTCCATTTCGTGCCCAAGGAATTAGGGGTTCACACGGTATCCGTTAGATATAAGGATATCCATATTCCTGGATCACCGTTCCAATTCACCGTCGGCCCCTACAGGGATCACGGTGCTCACTTGGTAAAAGCCGGCGGGGCTGGTTTGGAAAGGGGCGAACAGGGTGAACTTAACGAATTCAACGTATGGACTAGAGAAGCAGGTAGCGGGCAACTGGCTATTTCGGTAGAAGGCCCGAGCAAAGCGGAAATCAATTTCACCGATCGCAAAGATGGATCCTGTGACGTCTCTTACCGCGTATCTGAACCAGGTATTTATTTGATATTCTCCTCCAATTATACAGAGTGTTTTACCATGACTCCACAGACTTGAAAGCTACAATTAAAAAATGCCGTAATGTGTAGCATAACGAAGTAGCTCTTAAACCCGACAAAGTTTTTTTGAAGATAATGGGAAAATGTTTTTTTGGATCGCTTAAAAAATTCCGATGATATTTCGCTGCTTAACGGATTCGAAAATAATCGCGCCATGATGAGTAACAACGTCATCCTCGTATAAACACAAATATTACAAAATTTATTTTAAGCTGGCAAAGGGCCAGGCAAAAATTTGCAGGCGATGCCTCTCGAAACGTTTTACGCTGTGACAAAAAAAAACCTCAAGGTAGCCTTTAAAAGTTAATTTTAGAACTTTGAATCATATATTTAATAGTTAGTAAAATTTTCTTCCACATGGAGTAGGTCGACTTCTAAGCGGGGCTCAGTGCACAGTTAATGTTTTTTGTGATAATAGACAATGTATAAGGTGTGTCAGGAGATACATTTCGATCCGGATGATTCGCCAGGGGACGAAGGTGGGGGAGAGTTTTATGGTGTTAACTGGTGTGAGGGGTAGTTAAAACCATATCGTGATGATTTTTTTCTATACAGGCGAGTACAGGATAGGGTTGAAGTTTAACGACGAACATGTGCCCGATTCACCGTTCAAGGTGTACATTTCGCCAGCCGTTGGTGATGCTCACCTCTTAGAGGTCGCCCAATTTCCCGAAGGATACATTCAAGCTGACAAACCCTCACAATTTATTGTGCGCAGAAACGGTGCTAAAGGGGATCTCGACGCCAAGGTAATTAGGAATTGAGTTGACAGATTGGTTGAGGTTATGATAAAAAAAACCTTGTTTATTTACGTCCATGCATAAACACGCAACAGGTACACCAGTACAGTTCCACCTGTAATTAAACAACTTGCTTCAACAATGATGGTCTGAAGTGTCTTGCTTTTAAAAATTTTTTTTTAATGGAAAGTTTAAAAAAACGAGATAAATTTCAGAAAAAGTTTGGTATAGCATAAATTTTCTTCCTAAATCAAAGCGGTATCTTAACAAAAAAGCATTTTATTATTTATTTTCCGTTAGATCATCGGTCCTTCTGGCCACGAAGATGACTGCTTCGTGCAAATTATCGACATGGAAGAATATTCGGTAAGATTCATGCCACGCGAAAATGGCATTCACAAAATCCACGTCAAATTCAACGGGGTCCACATACCCGGATCGCCGTTCAGCGTCAAAGTTGGAAAAGATACCGCAGATCCAGCAGCGGTTCACGCTCAAGGGAGTGGTTTAAATAAAGAAATTAAAACCGGTGTAAAGCAAGATTTCATTATTGACACCGTCAATGCGGGAGCGGGCACTCTATCGGTAAATATAGATGGCCCCAGCAAAGTTTCCATGGACTGCACGGAAGTAGAAGAAGGATATAAAGTACGATACACTCCGATCGCTCCAGGAGACTACTACATCAGTATTAAATATAACAATGTTCACATTGTTGGTTCACCCTTTAAAGTAACTAGTCTAGGTGAAAATAAGTCGTAACGCTACAGGTAAATGGTTTCTGATAATAGTGTTTACAGGAGATAAAAATGTCGCGGATGTGGGAGGACAAGAATCGTCATCGGTAGTGGTTGAAACTGTTGCCAAAGTTGGAAAAGCGGCAAATCACAAAGGACTGGTAATGCCCCACTTTAAAAGTGATGCTTCCAAGATTCAGTCTAAGGGGATGGGATTGAAGAAAGCGTATTTAGGAAAACAGAATCAGTTCACAGTTTCGGCCCAAGATGCGGGTAAGACGCATGACGTCACAACGGGATAACCGCATCACTAAGGATGCCAACATGTTTTAGGTACCAACATATTGTTTGTTGGTGTCCATGGACCTAAAGGACCATGCGATGAAGTTTTCATAAAACATAAGGGCCGTAATTTATATGATGTCAATTACATGGTCAGAGACAGAGGGGAATATTTCATCATCATAAAATGGGGCGAGGATCATATTCCGGGATCACCTTTTAAAGTTGATGTTTAAATATTCTTTTTTTCCGTTTTCATATTATTTATCTATGCTAGCAAAATGTTGTTGAATTATCCGAATTTTTTTTTTTATTTTGTACATAAAAATTTGTGGTAGATTTGTATCAATAATAGCGTTTAGTTTATTCTGGTAAACTAACAACATTTTGCTTGTAAGAAATACACAAAAATAAATTGAAATTTAAACTATTTTAATTTTAAGAGCTTTCAGGAATAATCGTACATTAATTATGAATATAATTTTCAATTATACCTATACAACTTATTTTTTAAACGCAACTTCCATAATATATCATACAGATTTTGTATTTTTTGTGTAATTTTCAGTAAATTATATCCTTATAAGACCATGTGTTTTTCATTTTATGCATCACTAAAAATTGTTGTACGCGATAATTTATTATTGATGAGATTCAGATTGATAAGAAATATTTTGGTGACGCATTCTAAAGGCGCCATCTAGCCGAAACTAGCTAAAGAATATGCCCACGTTTCTTTTTGGACAAAGTTAACTCCTAGGCGATAAATGAACGATTGATTTTCTTTATAATTTGAAAAAATCCTACATTTCCGTAATTTGCTACCCAGAAGATGCACAAATTCAAAAATCAGAGGAAAAAATAGTGAAAACCCTTCAAGATCAATAAAAAATGATCGATAAAGTTGACGTAATCACGTCAAAAACAGCTGATCCCACGCTAATATTAATGTCAACTTATTTCACTTTGTTGTAATGACGTTTAACATCGATCACCAACGTTTATGATACTTGTATTTTTTTTTTGCAGACCAAATATTTGATTTGTTCACAACAAATGATTATTTGTGGAAACATACGTCTTTCATATTTTTTTCCAAAGCGTAGAAGAGTTAGTATGTGTATTATCAAACAATTTTAGGTTGCTTTTTATTCAAAGTTTATTAAAAATATGGATTTGGCTAAATCTCTTTTCGAAACCAGAAACCACGATGGATATGTTGGAAAGGTGGATCACAATGTAAACTAGAGCCTTAATGTTTGGCCTATATATAAAATAACTTTTCATAATTTTATAGAAGCGAGAGTTGGAATTGGCAATTGAACCTGATGATGCTGATGACAATTTAATAGAAGAATTAAACATTGATGACTTAGTAACTCCCACACCTGGAGGACCATTTTCTGCTCTAACCCCAAGTATGTGGCCACAAGAAATTATGGCCAAACAGTGCCGGGAGCAAGAAGATCCTAATTCACAACCAGACTACAGGTGACTATTAAGATGATGTATTAGTAATTGAATGAGTTACAAAAACACACATTTTAGATTTGATGAATTTGGTTTTCGTGTTGAGGAAGAGGATGGGCCTGAACAAAACTCAAACAAATTGCTTGGAATACCTTTACTTGAAGATCCTCAGCATAGATTGCAGTGGGTGGCTCATTTAGAATTTTCACACAACAAAGAATTATCAGACCTTACTTGGGATAAAGTTGACATTCGCATTCCCAGGACTGACAAACTATTCCAAATGGTTAAGTCTGGTATTCCTCATTCTCTGCGCCCCCAAATGTGGATGCGAATGTCTGGAGCACTCGAGAAAAAACACCAGTCAGAACTCTGCTATAAAGAAATTATTAAAATGTCTAGCAATGATTCACTGATGACTTCAAAACAAATTGAAAAAGATTTATTGCATATCATGCCCACAAATGCTTGTTACAGCCATGCTAACAGCACAGGTATCCCGAGATTGCGCAGAATTATGAGAGGCATCGCTTGGTTGTATCCTGATGTGGGGTAAGTTTTACATAGGTCAACATCTAGGTATTAAATTAGTAGTAAATTCCATTCTCAGAGTAAACTCGCCCTGCGTACCTCTTTATAATTATTTAAAAGACAAAAATAGTACATTCAGTGCTCATGACTCTTTTAATGAAATTCTTTATGAGTAAAATATTATTTGTTACCTCTCAAGGTACTGCCAAGGAATGGGGATAATAGCTGCCTCCTTGTTACTGTTTATGGAAGAGGAAAATGCATTTTGGATAATGGTAACCATAGTAGAAGATTTATTACCGGCTTCATATTACAGTTCAACACTTTTAGGTAATTTCATTTTTGTTATAAGTAATTTGAAGTTCTAGAGAATGTAATATGTTTTAACAGTGGAAAAGAAGTGAAATTATTTTTATGCTGGGTCACTTCTTTGAAATTATATACCCTATGTGTATGTTACATGAAGTTTTTCGTCTTAAAGGTATACAAGCGGATCAAAAAGTTTTAAGAAATTTAATAACAAATTACTTACCCGATATCGACGAAACTCTGAAAAATCACGATATTGAATTGTCCTTAATAACTCTGCACTGGTTTCTAACACTATTCGCCAATGTGGTGCACATGAAGATATTGCTCAGGATATGGGACCTGTTCTTCTTCGAAGGCTCGCTGGTTTTATTTCAAATTACTCTCGCTATGCTAAGAATGAAAGAGCCACAACTCAAAACGTTAGAAAATTCCGCTCAAATTTTTAATGCGTTGTCAGACATTCCTGGTGACATAGAAGACGTTGAAAAACTCTTTGAGGTGGGTTCAAATCACAGCTATCTTAGAATAATCAAATATAAGTAAAAAAATTTATGGATTTTCTCTGTTAAGGCGAAACTGAAAGAATTCAGGTTATAACAGCTTTTAGGTGAACAACTGTTCACTACAAATAAAATGTGAATAAAATTTATTGATGCTCTTGTCGCTATTTCTTGTTTATTTTCTCTAACGACTTAAACAATACCAAACTAATCAATGCTTCATATAAAATAAACTATGAAAATGGAATAAATAAAAGCCCAATTTCTCAGGTTTCATCAGAATTAACAAGCTCGTTAAACGATGTTACAATAGAAACTTACAGAAGGAGGCATTTAGCGTATTTAATGGCCGATCAAGGAACTTTGGTGGGAAACCCAGAAGCGTTACCAAATCTGCCTAAACAACACTTGGCAAGGTAAGTCGATAAAACTTCAAATTTAGAAATAATTTCGCGCGTATGTCGGTAATTCAGAAATCTTTAACCCTTTATTGATTTTTGACATTTGTGATATAACCTATAAAATCCTCTGATACAAAATTTTAACGGGACAAATAATGTATAACGTATTCAGAAAAAAGCAAAAAATCGGTTAAATCGGAGAGCCGTCAATGTTACGGATGATGGAAAACCGGTCTAATAGTGAAAATGTAAAAACCGTCGTGTCAGTATATTTACATAGAAGACAGTTTCCAATTGTTAAGCCCAAGAAAACAACAAGGACTTATAACATAAAACGAGCATTACTGGAGAATAGACTTGGAAGGACACATTACGATTACGATTGCGGCAGTAGTGATCCAATGATGGTGGTTGAGTACATTTACCTATTTCAAAATTTCATGTATTGGTTAAAAGACCAAATGAAGTATAAACAAAGATGTTTTGACATTGAAAGGTTAGCTGGTCCCTTGTTTTGTCATTTTTATTTGGATATGCTAAGCAGTGAACATTCAGAAAAAGCAATATCATTTTTTAACGCTCATGTCGATAAATTGGATAAGTCTAAGTGTGATGACACAGTGCTAAGACTAATTAAAGCTGTTACCAATAATTCAGACATCATAGAGTTGGAACAACAAATCAGAAGTAGCAAAATAGTAGCAGAACTAACAACAGAATCTCTGTTTCTATTAAAAAAGTTTGTATCAGAAAGCTTGAATGTAGTGTTTTTGCAGACTTTCCAAAAATGGTTTGATTTAAGAACTAGCTGTGATAAATTATTATTAAAAGAAGAAAAAAATATGATTAAGAGTGGTTTAAGAGAGCATGAACATAATAAACTTCAAAGTGTAATTAGAGAAGTCAAAAAACTTCAAATTAATGTGTGTAATATTCGTGTAACAAACTGTAAGAATGGTGTAGCCTGTGGATTCATTAAGAGACAATTGGGTGCTGTTGCAGTCGCTGAGAAGAATGTGTTACGAATTATGCCTTTACACGCTTTAGATTCTCTTTTTAATCTTACGGAATGCTTTAGTGAAATTAAATTAAACAATCATTCAAAACAAATTTACTGTATTGCTGTTTCTTCAAAAAACGATATATTATGTACAGGATCAGCAGACAGGAGCATTTGCATTTACAATATGCTCAAAATACAGCTGCATCTAAAAGTGTATGGTCATTTAGGTCCAGTGTATTGTATTGCAATTAGTGAATGTAGTAAATATTTAGCGTCAGGTTCTCAGGATAGTACAGCAAGAGTGTGGAATATTACAACAGGAAAAGCTTTAAGGATATATGCAGGCCATACACAACCTGTAACATGTTTGCAGTTTCATCCAAATACAATGTACCTTGCAACCGGTTCTGCAGATAAAAATATTAGAGTTTGGTGTTTAAAGACTGCTAGCCCTGTTAGGTTATTACATGGTGCTAAGGGGGTAGTATTTGCCTTGGCTTTTGATCCCACTGGGCAGTCACTTGCCAGTGCTGGGGAAGACAAAAAAATTAGAGTGTGGGATTTGATAACATCAAAAATAACCCAGGAATTCAGAAGCAAAGATGCTCCTGTAGTTAAATTAGCTTGGAACACGACATCCAAGCAACTCGGTGTTGGAACTTTGTCAGGAACTATCAAAGTTTGGGATATTTCCCATCACAGTGAAGATCATAAACACTTGGAACCTGCTTTTTCCTGTCAAGTGAATGGTAGCATACTCAGTTTGGAATATACAATGGGAATTTGGTCATCGCTTTCTGCCTGATTATTTGTTAAATTTATTTTAATTAAAGGGCAATTTTAGTGTATATAGTAAACTTAGTATATTTTTGAAGCAATATAAATTATTTTGACAATAATAGTACAAACTTTGAACTGGAACAAGTTTTCATTAGGAAGTAATTGTAAAGATTGATACTATTAGGTATATACATTGTTTTGTTAAAATCAATATAGATTAGAAGAACCATTCTGACCTCAAAAGTTTGTTTGAACAGCAATGCTATTTTCAAAAGTAGTACCAGTTGTACCCTAATGCGTGCTGGTACTAAAAAGTCTGTAAATACTTTGTCATCCTTATGCTGCTTATAATTTATTTTTTCTTTGATATGTAGATATTTTTTTACAGGGTGTGTATTTTAGCTTGATTTTTTACTAGTACTTTTTCATAACAAAATTTCATAGCGGAAGCTTTAGTTTTGTAAATGATACTTTTGGTTGCTTAAATTTTTGTAAACTATTTTATGTTAATCTAAGAAATGTAACATGTTTTTTTTAATTTGACTTGTACATCTTCCTTTTCTACATAAGTTTTGATACAGAATAAACCAATTTTATTTTATTATTTATTTGTTTGATTTTCTTAATCGTCACCGCGTTAATAAAGTTGGAATGAAACAAAATTAATTAATTAATTATTAAAAGGAATAATTTATTATTGTATGGCAATTTTAGGAGACAGATCAAAAAGAATAAATCGGTATTTCAAATTTTGCTGTTTTCGGAAGGCACTGAAGATGAAATTAAGAGCAAAAATATTAGACAAACTGAAATATTAGTTGATCTCAGGGAAGCCATTTTACAAGTAAAAGTAGCTGTAAATTCAGTAGCCGGACAAAAATGTTGCTATTTTATTTTAGATTGTTCGCCACTTTGTACAGTTAGATCCAAAACTAAGCTCAGAAATTTCATTGGTAGCTGATTATTCAATGGAAAGTCATGCTCAAGATCATATGAATTTTATAAATGTCTCAAAAAATAGGAAGCGGAGAGCCAAGGCTTTGTTGGATTTTGAGCGGCATGATGATGATGAATTGGGTTTTCGAAAAAATGATATAATTACTGTAGTGAGTCAAAAGGATGAACACTGCTGGATAGGAGAACTGAATGGTCTTAGAGGTAAGGTAATTTTAATTTCACGAATTGATTATAACTTTATGATATATTTAGGTTGGTTTCCTGCAAAGTTTGTCGAGTTATTAGATGAGAGAAGTAAACAGTATAGTAGCGCCGGCGATGACAGCATATCAGAAACTATTACAGACCTTGTAAGGGGTGTTTTAAGTCCTGTTATTAAACAAGTACTGGAACATGGAATGAAACGCCCACATTTTCTGGGTAAGCAATAGTCTCGCTATTTCTTTTAATATAACTACCGTCCTAACTGCAGGAGGACCATGTCACCCATGGTTATTCATTGAGGAAGCTGCCACAAAAGAAGTTGAAAAAGATTTCAACTCGGTTTACAGCAGATTAGTACTTTGCAAAACATATAGGCTAGATGAAGATGGAAAGGTCTTAACACCTGAAGAAGTGAGAACAAATTTTTGGGAGAGGGTGGACTGCTCGTTTAAATAAAGATATTTCAGTTGCTCTACCGCTGTGTCCAAGCAATCAATCTGTCCCATGATAACGCGCATGCTCAAATGGATGTAAAGCTCAGGTCATTAATTTGTTTAGGATTAAACGAACAAGTTCTCCATTTATGGCTCGAAGTATTATGTTCTTCAAGTGAAGTTGTGCATAAATGGTACAGTACTAATTATGATGAAGTTCATTGTAAAAAAAAAAAACTTTTTAGGTATCATCCATGGTCTTTTATGTATAGTCCCGGCTGGGTTCAGATTAAATGCGAACTAAGAATTCTATCTCAGTTATCTTTTAATCTAAACCCAGATTGGGAGCTGCCTGTAAAAAAGGAAACAAACAATCAGCCCCTAAAAGATGGTGTTCGTGATATGCTTGTGAAACACCACTTGTTTAGCTGGGATATATGAATATATCAAATTGATTGTCCGTGCGTTTGCCTTCTGTAAATTCTTCTGCAGAATATCTCAAAAAAATGTTATTTTTCTAAAATGTTAATATCTCGCTTAGACTTATTTATTTTTAACTTATTAATAAAAAACTGGTTATGTTTGCAAATCCTATAATAAAGTATGAATAAAATGCATTTTTAATTTTTTTTATTGTATTTAAATATTATCGGTACCCAAAGCTCTTGGCAAAGTTGTTCCACATAGTCCAGGGAAATGAAATTGGAAATCGTCTTTGGCGGGCTCTTCATTTAAATTAAATTCGGCCACAGGTCTTCCCCTTTCAGCGACTAAGGGTGCAAAAGCGGCGGCAGGGTAAACAACCGAAGAAGTCCCAATAACCAGACATAAATCACAAGATTCAAATAAATTTTCTGCAAAATGAAACAATAGAAATAACTTAAAGTTCATGGAATTAACAACTCACTTGCTGTCTTTAGTATATGTGGATCAAGATGTTCTCCAAACCAAATGATGTATGGCCGAACTAACGAACCACACTGCTTGCATTTCGGAAGGTCATCTATCTCTATGTTAGGGAGAGATGTATTATTCGAGGGATCCCTGAAAATTATCTATGCTTATCTTTTTTTTTCTCTTGAAGCAATTTACTCTCTGCCTCTTAGAGCTTCACATATGTGGTCATCCAAATTTTCAGCAATGTGTTTACACTTTGTACATATCACCTTATTTAAAACCCCGTGCAATTCCACAATATTTTCTGAGCCAGCCCTTTGGTGTAGCCCATCAACATTTTGAGTAACTATATGGAATTCCCGTCCTTGCTGATTACATAATCTTTCATATTTAGCTAACGCTGTATGAGCCTTAAAACGCAATTAATATAACAAAATAAAATCCAATTTTGCCAATTTGTAAAATCAAATTGTACCCACTTTATTGGGTTGAGCATGAAATGCTACTGTCCTTCTGTAATTATAAAATTCCCACACTAACCCAGGATTACTACGAAATGCAGTTGGCGTTGCTAAATCAAGGGCCCTGTACCTTCTCCACAAAGCACCGTCGCCACCCCTAAATATAGGGATTCCTGATTCCGCTGACACACCAGCTCCAGTTAAAGCGACTATTTTTTGCGACTCGTTTAAAACTTTTTGAAATCCTGCGTAGTCATTTATTCGCCTTTTAGACATCTTAAAAAATGAGCCGAATGGTTCCACTTTACCATGCAGAATGAGGGAAACGGATTTCATAGCTATTTCCATACAGAAGCATTGTATTCAAAAAACGTATTAAATCCGAATTTATTTATTTATAATTATGCTGACAAATATACGTCAAAGCACCTTCCTACATAACAGACGATTGACGATAGATGTAGCTACAAAATCGGTGGAGTGCTTTTAGTTTAGCGCTATTTCTTTTCGTCAGGTAGTTCAAGAAATTCGTATTTGTTTCTAATACGGGTTTTAAAAATATTATATATAAAATCATAGACGACCGAAATGATAAAATGACTCGCCTCGTACTTGTGTCGCCATCTAAAAATCTTTTTGAATGACCAGGTATCCATTAGATGTACCCAAGTCGATAAATATGGATTAGAGCGAATTTAATGGACCAAATAGTTGTTAAATTCTGAATTAGCTAACAAAAAACTTTCAATCTGAATTTTACATATTAAGTGGTTGACTTCGTTGGAATTTATAACACCCAAATGAACGAAATACTTTATGAAAATAGGAGTTAGGTTCAAAAACCCTCGTTCTCAAAAATATAGATAGTCCTTGGTTCCGAAAGATGGCATTATACTTTTACTTGTGGCGACATCTGAAGATGATTTTAAAAACTTTCGTCGACAAGGAATCATTATACTCAAATCAATAAACAGTGACCTGAGCTAATCAATACCAAGTTATGGACAGTTTCGCATCAAATAATTTATTAAATTCGGATTCTCAAAAATATACATATTATGTAGCTAGCTACGAAGGGCCGTGTTATGCTTTTACTTGTGGCGACATCTAAAGTTCAACCTAAAAACTTTCGATTGACCATGAAATCATTGTATCAAATTCGATAAATACTGATTGAAGCTAATCGATACCTGAATGCAGTTTGGACCCAAATTCAAATTTGGGCCAACGAATGGCAATATCGTACTTGTACTGCCTGCGACATCTGCAGGTGATCTGAAAAACTTTCGATAGACCATGAATTCATTATATTCAAATCGATAAACACCAACTTGACTTAATCAATACCAAACTATCTGGAATTTTGGACAAAGTAGCTTATATAAATCAATCTTGAGCCTAATATAAACCTCGATTTTCAAGAAATATACATAATAAATGACTCCAAAGAAAGTAAAATAAGTTTGATGGTAGTGATATCTAGAGGCGAGAAAAAATTGTGCGTAGTAGTGATCTCACTTGAACATGTCGATATACACCTAATCAATGCTAAGAGAATTACAATTTCAGCTTGCCGAATTTGCGGCATCTAAGGTAAAAATTATGAAGTAGCTCAAATCTTTTTTTGCGCAAATTAAGACATACGAATTATCAATGGCTGAAATTTGTTGGACGGGATGAGAATACAAGCCAAGCAAATTAAAATGCAAATAAAAATTCACCACAAGTTGTGTATTCTATTCGTTATACATAAGTACATATATAAAAAAAGTGCCCAAACTTCGTAATTGGCCAAGAAATCTCAGCGAAACGATGAAATGGCCGTCAATTTTCGCATTAATCGAGCTACGTTCAAAGTGGACCGATCGAAAATAATCCGGTTAACTGTAAGTCCTTTGGCCGTCGCTGCCTCTATTTAAAGCGATCGTACTTTCCGTGTTGCGGGAACCACAAATGGTAAACTCGAACGGTCCTTCGTCTTCGCCGAAAGCTTCGCCATCTTGTAAAGTGACTGGCAATTTTCGATTTAAAGTTTCCGGAAGGTACAAGCAAGCGATCGCGCCCGATATCATTACGATACCTAAAATAAGTTCCGGAGTGGGTTTCCAAAAAACGCCCAAATACAAAATTTGCGTGCTGAAAAACGTAGCTCCGTAGCCCGCTACGTGAACCGCCGCCACCCCTTGACCTCTGACCACTGTTGGGAGCAACTCAATCGCGTATTGGTGTCCAGAGTTGTAAGCTACGTTAATGCCCAAACGGGCGATTATGGCTAAAACGAGAATTAACTCGGGTTGAGGGTTCTGGACGAATATACGCAAAAGCCCGGAGCAACCGGAAAAAATGCCGCTTAATAAAAGCGATCCGCTGGCCAAAACCTTTCTGCCAACTCTATCTTGGACGCCGAGAATGAATAGACAAGCAGGTAGGATGGTTGCAGAGGTGACGGAAAATATAACAAAAGGCGACAGGCCCACTCCGTTAACGTTTTTCGATATGGCGTCGTAACAAAGTGTCATTACCATCCTAGAACACACGGTCATTCTACCATTTTGCCGGGCATCAAGTCCTACACTTACGATTTGTAAACGAGGATCAAAGTTTTCCGTCTAAGGTTAGGCGTTTTAACCAACCCAATTAGATTTTCGTGTTTTTCCGTTTTTTTCGGGATGTGCTCTTCGCAATATCGCTTAAGCGCATCTACCGTTTTCGGGCTGACGGTTCTTCGATTTATTTTAGCGATTCGGCGAAAACACTCGACCGCCTCGTCGATACGGCCTTTGCTTATCAGCCATTGCGCGCTTTCCGGTACCAATACGTAAAATAACAGCACGAGCAAGTGAGGTATGGAGACAATTAACAAAAAAATCCTCCACGTTCCCACGAGAGCCACTACCCAAGGTATTGCCACGCAGGAGAGAGTGTAGAACAAACCGATGCAGATGTTAAGCCCCAGGGTTCTCATGCTAGGTCGTATGTACTCCATTACTGGAATAAAAAAATCAAATTACTACAGTACGTAATAAACAAAGGGATTTAAAAAACATTAGTTCTAACACCTAGATAGCACACGACTTCAATTGGATATCAAATTAGTCCATGCACTATCCATGGAGCCAAGGAAACTCTCTGGACGTTAAATGGACTATAATTTTTGTACAACTTCTGGATATAGTCACAATCTGTTACGTTCTAGTAGATTTAAATCAATCGCTCTGTATTTTATATATAATTATTTTTGAAAACAGGTATCATGTGATGTCGCCGCCTACAAGTAATATGCATGCACAGAATAAAAATAATCGTTATTAACCAATAACTATAGTTCATATTGCTTTGGTTAAATTATTGCATTAGTCTATAGTATTGTATCGGATATAAATTTATTGTACACCTCTTGTAGTAAGTACACATTAATAATAATAGTAATTATTACTAGTGTGGTTCGAAAACTTTAATATTTGAATTTTTTATCTTCAATATTTTTTAAAAGAACTTTTTTGGATTTGCATGTGTATTTCAAGAGAAATCCATACTTGGATTCCAAAAGTTTTACATGTCTGGATTCAGAAATATGACATTTGTAGACTTCTAACGCAGCTTATTTGTAAAAGTAAAACAAACCGCCCACTCTCGAAGAGACAAAACTATACCGATTTAAATACACGCAAAGAAATTATTTTTAAAATTTTATCTTAATTTTCCAAAAAAACTAAAATAATTTACATACATTTAGCATTATATGGATATATAAAAACGTCAACTTAAAGGTACACAGACAAAAAATTGTCCCAAACTGGAACGTTGTAATGTAGAAATATAAAAACAAGATTAAACGGGAGACCTGCAATTTATATTATTAAAAAATAATGTCCGATCAAAGTTGAAAACTTTTTTTGCCCTTTGGTAATTTCTAATTAATTAAGAATATCGGGACATTTTTATTCGGAGAAAAATTATGATCCGTGGACAAAACATTAGTAGCGAACACAGATTTGGTCTCTCATTGTACTTTTTTACCAAAGTAAGATAGATAGATCTTCCTGCGAGACTATCCGATATAGGCTGCACTACAATCCTCAAAGAATATGATCTTGATTTAGAAAATAATCTATTGAACTTATATTAGAAATTGCTTCAGTGCATTGGTTGTTTTAAATACCATAGGTAAATTGATAGTTTTGCACAGACAAACGCGCTCACTTAAAATCGTTGTTAAATAAAATTGAAGATGAAAAGTTTGTGGGCATCAAGGTTGAGAGAGAGAGAGAGAGACAGAGAGAGAGAGAGATTTCTGGTCCTCTCTCATTTCAATTACTGTAACTTTTTCTATGGTTTTTGTTTGGACCAGGAAAGTAAGAAGCGTGTTCAAATAATACCGAATGCATGTATTAGGTTTGTCTATGGTTTGGGGGAATTTGATCATCTATCACACTTATACAATGATATAAAACGGCTCAAAATAATGGCAAACTAATTATGCCACATCATGACACTGCAATTTTTCAGCGTTCATTAGAACGCCGTAAAGTATTTCAACTTAATTCCGAACCAGTTTCTTGACATGTCATAACATATTTTCAAAATAAAATATAAAAAATATCTTTAAAATTTTCCATTAAAAGGGCTTAAACTAAAATAACTAATATTAGTACCTACATATCACTGGGTCCAAAATGTTATAAAGCCAATTAATTCTACTCCAAAGTTACTTTTCTTTAACTCATTTCCATATGTATAATTACAGTAATTTCTCTAGATAATTTTTTTTAGAATTAACATAGTATTGTTAAACAACGTCTGTCTCTGTTTGGTTCAATAGAGTAGCCAAAGGCTAGACTTCCGCCAAACTTGGACAGATAAATGAAATAATTTCTTTGTAATAACATTTTAATATCATATTGTTCAAATAAAGTGAATATTATTATTATTTTATTATTTATATTATTATTATTATTATTTAGATAAACATTTAATAAACACTTGAATTTTTCAAAGCCTAAAAGGAAATTTATTTCCCAATCTTCTTTAAGTCCGTTTAATCGACTTTTGGCTACCTTTTTATTAATTTATTTTTTTCCGTATCTATACTAAATTTGGCTAATATTTGCATTTGCCAAATACAAACCTATGATGTACATCATGACGAAGTTCGTATCTGTGGCGCATCCGGCAAAAAAGCGGCTTACTGCGAACAGTACGACATTGTTCGACAATATGGTTACAGCGTTTCCAAGCAGAGCAAACATGTTGGCCAAAACCAGCGTGTGAAGTCTTCCGATGTTATCCGCGAGAATTCCTAATACGATCCCACCCACTACAGAGCCTACAAAAAAAACCGATTGTCCCAAGGCCGATTTCCAGCTTTCGCCGCAAACCCAATTTAGCTGCAAAATAAGCATCCACAACATTACAAATTAAAAACTCTCGAACTTCAAAACCTTTTTAAATCCACGCAATTACCTCTTGAACAATACTGATGTATCCATTTGTGTTCGAATCGTCATAAATCCAACCGGTGGTGCAAGGAACATCGACATACGAGCTGTTATCAAATATTCTAATCGAACAAGGGTCTGCGATGCTCGAATTTGCAACTCCCGTGGCGTTGCATTTGTGTAGAGGAACGAGGCTCGTGAAAGTTTGGCCGAAATAGTGAAAAGCCGATAGGATATTTATAATACTAAAGAGGAACATCAACATTAATTGATAGCGGGAAAAGTCCCCTACGTGGGCTAACATTCCATCGATGTCCAACGCTGCCTCATTGTCCATTTCATCTATATTACAAATACCGTTCACCGATACATTACAAAATTTAATATGTAAGATAGGGGAGACCGCAAGTTGGCTCAAAGCATTTAACTTGAAAAGGAAAAATGTGGCAAGGTTGGTTCTTTCCTTATTTTGGTGTACGTGGCCAAGTTTAAGTTCAGTTGTGGTGAATTTGTTTATATACCCGTAATAATTATATTTTATCCTTGCTGTTCTTTTTGGAATATTTTGGAAGATATTCGTAATTGAAGCACTTCAAATATGTTATCCTCAAGCTGGCCAACTTGCCCCGTACATACTTTTATATGTCGGAGCAATGAGAAGATGCAAAGGAAAATGGCTAACACGAAAAATTATGGCAAATCCATTATGTTGAATTACATGGAGTTGGTTAATAGGTAGATAGATAGGTTAGAGGTAACGGCATTGAAATGAAGACCTTTTCCAAGAGTTTTGCAAAAAAAAAGGTGCCGCTAAAGGTCACCCCAGAAAAATAAGCTTTGCGGATGGAGCAGCCTTTAAAAAAACGGAACATGCAACCTGGTAAGGATAAAAAAGAATTTAAAAGACAAAGACTACCAAAAAAATTAATAAAAAGCTACCTTTGTCGGAGCAAGCAACAAGCACTGAAGACTAGAGACGATTATTTTTGACTACTTGGATAAATTTAGTGAACCAAAAGAAGAGTGGATAAAATGTATTTCTTTTCATAAACGGGTACACAAAACACGCAAATCAATTGCTTGAACGAATAAGCAATATTTCGTTAATTTTATTTTGTTTTCCTTTCATACTGTTTTTTTTTTCATTGTTGTTTTGGAGTTTTTAACCTTAGAGTTCTAGTTTCAACTAACTTCGTCGCACTTTAAAATAAGATTATTATATTTCTGATGGGTATTGATATTCCGATTTAGTGGTATACATATTAAGAAATGTCTAATAAATACTTCGAAATGATTTCTATTTGCTTTTTTATTGTTATTTAGAGTCTATATTCAATTAATTAAATGAAATTAAAGCAAAAACTTTTTGCAATTATAAAAAAACGAGCAAAGGTCTCCCCTACCATAAAAATCATGTTTTTTTCCTTTCGCAAGTAACAATTATTTGGCAATATTATCATGTCCTTGGTCATAAGCTAATGTTGAAATATGCTTTTTTTTTGTTAATTCCTAATGTTTACTATTAAAAGTTTTAGCATAAATGTGAGTATTGTATAGGAAGTTACGCACTGCAATGCGCATGTTACTGTATTCCAACATTATCTGGAACACGGAAGTCCACTGTCGACATTGTAAGGCTTGTATGGCTGATAAAACTAATACGGAAATACCAAAATGCTCCGGTTTTGCATATTACGCTTAATTAAATAGAGCAAATAATAGGAAGGGCGAGCCGAAGGTGCTCCCCATCAGGACGCATATTAATTCACAAAATTGTTTCGGTTATTATAGTTAGTAGTTCAAATGTAGTTGGTTTCCATTACAACAGAGCTTTTCCAGATTAGATCCGACCCCGCATCGAACGGTAAACTTTAAATGCTTTCCTTAACAATTATTGAGAGAATAAATAACAATTGAAACAACGATATAAAAGTACCACGTCGGCAAGTTTTCTTCCCTCGCAGCTTAGTGCCGGTGAGGGAAATTTACGATAACTAAGCAAGTAATTTAACACCTTAGTTCTAATTCATTATGTCCACCGGATTAAGTTGTAGAGATTTAAGAAACGATAGATTGCGAGTGAATGCGTTAAAACCGTAATAAACTTTAGCAAACTATTCAATTTTTTTTTTATTTAAATTGGAAAATGCTTTTGGTGCGTTCAATCGTACGTACGATCAACTGCAGATGCACATTCAAGCTCTTTTCGATAAATTAAATGAAAATAAATATTTAAATCCGGCGGTTTTTTCATTAAATTATTTTAATTAAATAGCGATTGGAATGCTGACGAGTACGAACCACTTTTGGAGTTTGCAACACTGTTATCAGTCATCACTGCACTTCTAAATTTTGTTTACTGACCTGGCGTATAAAAATAAATGTGCGAGTTGTCGTTTTACTGCGATGTCTGCTTGAGACTCACCCACGAAAGAAACAGACGGTTTTAATGAATAAATCCCATCTCAAATGCAGTATCAGTCGACATTATCTGGGAAAAAAAATATCCAAAGTTCGTGTTAGCACAACAATTTCGACCGAATAGAGGAAGTAGTGCATTTATCACTTAATACATGTAATTTTTTGCGGCAAATTTGCCGTCTCTTTTAGTTGTACACCAGAGGTTTATAATTAGTTAATTTCAATCATACGAGTGGTTTTTTTCGTCGCTATCCATACGCGTGAATCATATTTTCGCGTTTCGCGAGTAATTAATCGGAAAAAAAGTACATTCTTGTTTCTGAATGGGAAGCATGAATGAAGGATGTATCGTGAATACAAAAAAGGAAGTTAAATACCGTGCCACCAAAAAATATTATTAATTAACCGCGTCTCTTTATAGTTTTTAATGAAATACGCCTGATGACAAAAAACCTTTGCTACAATAGAGAAAAGACAAGTTCTTTGAAATCTGTTTGGCTCTTTTATATAAAATTCCAGATAAAAGATTTTCTCTTTGCCGACGCTGCCTACATAAAGCGACGAAAATGGAAATCATGGAAGTAGATCTACAACGACAATGCGCTATAAAACCGGTGGCAAACATTTTCCAATAGAACGTTAGCCGCGAAGAATATGAAATTAGAATTAGAAATGAAATCGAATAATATATAGTCGGATACTTTTCATATGTTTTACGCTCGATCATATTTGAAAAAAGGATTTAATCTGTAGACCGATGGTTAGGGCGTTAATTTTGAACTGTGGAATGGCTAAACATTTGCTGACGGAGGAAAGTTTTACATTGTAAAAACCGCGCCAGATTTTCGAAGTTGTCGATGCGCCAGACAATATTTATATGTTGTCGGTTTGGTATTCTCGCCGAACTCATTCAAAATTATATACGCCCGCGAGGTAACTTCGTCGACTCTTGCTAAGCTTAATGAAATCCAAATAGAAGCCTGTTTTCTCAATAAATAAATTCCATTCCACTCACAAATCGAGCATCAAAATCACGGACAACTATTTTTTTTAAGGAACTTTAATTTCGCCACATTCGATCACAGCGGGAAAATTTCATTTTATTCCTTTGAAATTTCTTTTTAAGTTGGGGAAGGAAATTACCCAAAACGTCAAGAAAGTTGAGTAGTAAATATTAATTTTGTGAATTCACAACCTACGATGCAAATGCAATTTAGATTGCTGGTTCTTACTCAAATTTCACCTTCGGATCATAGATTTTAATTTTCTATGGGGTGAAGATGCGGATGCTATAAATACTTACCTTCTAATCAAGATTTCTCTAGGCAACCTGCTTCCATGATTGACGACGATGAAAAAGAATAGCAACCACATCTCAATTTTAATAATTTTAAAGGTTTGGAGTTCGTTTGAAGTTTGATGTGGATGTGATTAGTGACATTGATAATGATTTCTCTGACCTGGTGAGAAAAAGACCACATCTCAATTTTTATCATTTTAAAGGTTTCGAGTTTATATGAATGTTGATATCAATGTGGATAGTGACATTAATAAATATGTAGAATGTTTAATAAACAACTGCTTAAAAAAATAATAAGAGAATAAGAGAATCTAGAATTACTCTGATCCGATACGAAATAATAGAGGCCATATCTCAATTTTTATAATTTTAAAGGTTTTGAGTTCATATGAAGTTTGATATCGGTCTATTTAGTGAGATTGAGATGTAGAATATCCAGTAAGCAAACTACTTACAGAAAAATATCTCGGAAGAGAATCTATCATGATGAGAAAGAAACCACATCTCAATTTTTATAATTTAAAGTTTTCGAATTCATATGAAGTTTGCTATCGATATATTCAGTAAGCAACCTGCTTACAAAAAAATATCCCAGAAGAGAATCTAGGATTACTCTGATTTGGCGAGAAAAAGAACACATCTAAAGTTTGTTAATTTTAACGATTTCGAGTTGATATTATGAGCAGCGTGCTTATAAAAAACAGACCAGAAGATAATATAAGAATTACTCGGTTAGAAAGAATAGATAGCACGCATCTTAATCGTTATAATTTTAAAGGTTTCGAGTTGATATAAAGTAATCGCTCGAACGTTTTTCCAAATAATTAATATAAATACATACATTACATAAAATTTGCAACCAGTTATACAATATAATTAACTAAAAATCTTCAAGGAAATGGCGAAAAGCATTATTTTTGTCGCTCGAAATTGTTTTTAATGCCAGGTATCTAATTATTTGACAAATTTGAAATGTCGCCCCAGCGACGAGCATAATCCGTGAAGCATTGATTGATTGAATTTGCGTCTAGCTTGTTTCAATCTTGAGGGACATGTCCTAATGCCGAGAAGAGGTCATACGACATACCACGCGGATTATACCCGAGCGAAATTCAGATAATACGTTAGATCGGCAAAATTTGAATTGCTTTATTAATTAACTCAGATGCATTACCGATTTCCGCCATGTTTTCGTCGACGACTGAAAGCTGAGACAAAAGCTATAGTAGAGCATATTGTAGCATATACCCTCGACAAAAGAAGAGGAAGCGAATGTCATACATTAACGACCAATAGAAAATAAAGATAAATTAAACAAACATTTTTGTTAGTATGTCGGTAATGTTTCGAACGTAATCATTTTCCTCATGGGACACCGAGTAGACAATATCCGATTGGGGCAGGGAGTTGATTGTTTTTGCTATTATTAATTTCCAGATCGGAAATTGGCCAACGAAACAGATTTCGATTTCTTAATGGGGTGTTTTTTTGTTCTTTATTCTAGAAAAGCATCTGACCGTGCAGTGCACGCAAACTAATAAAGCCGCGACCATTTGTGATATTTTATAGCGAAATTAGCAGACACGTCAACTTTGGGCGCAGTCTGTTAGAATATGGTGGATGACCGCTTGCATAGCCTCGCCCGTCTAGCATACAACCGGGAGTAGAAGCCGTCACAAAAACTTTTATTTTACGAATATCCCAAATTGAGCAAAATACGTTGAAAATTTAATTCCGCCATAACGAGTACAGGGACCCCTTTGTTTCTATGAATTGCCGAACACTATCAAAATACTGAATATTTTACCACGTTTCATGATTACGGCATAAATCAACGCATACACCAAACCGACTTGAATAAAACCGTTTAAACATGAAAACACATTTTTCTACCTACAAATGCTGAAAAAAAAAATATCGAAAAGTCCATTTCAATTTAAAATGCGTTCAAAAATTCGCCGATGCAAAATTTCGACACACAGACTAGACGTGTTATTTTCTCGAAAAGGCAAAAAAAACTGCTGCGTATTCAGCTTTCCACAGTTAATCACATTGAGCAGCATTCCATATCAGTGCCGTTCCGGCGGCAAAATTAATTTTTAGAAAGGGTTTTCTGTTCCGGAAGCACTAAACGTGATTTACACATGATCTGATGATGGGGCCCAAATAACGGAAATTTATATATTTCCTTCTAATCTGGTCGCTCCATTCTAATGGGTCTAACACTAACGAGGATCTAGGATGTCTTATCGACGGACCATATTAGGCGAGACGAGGACCTATTTTGAATCCAAGTAAATTTGCAAATTGCTACAACTAAATAAAAAGGGTTGTTTTGTCAATAGTTTATAGCAACAGAATCAACCGAGATTGCTACCAGAGAGCGCCACAAATTCTTACTTTGTATAAACTCTTTAAAAATGGAAATAGCTGCAGGATAACAATATAAAATATCTTGTTCGTTCTCATCCACTGGCCTTGATGAATGGCTTTCATTATTCGAAGGTCTACATAAAAAAATGTAACGGTGTAAATATATCGCTCATTTTGTCAAATCGTGTAACCATAACCACGATTATTATCGTCATATATAACTAACAGCACATGTGGACACGTATTTTTAGCTTTCTATCAACGCTTTCATATAATATTGAATAATGAAGTAGCAATGAATAATTTTATACACTTTTAAATATTAAAACTCTGTTTGTGAGTTTGATTTCTCACTTTCAGTATCTACTCAGTACTATCAAGAAGACTAGAAACCTACAAAAATTTGTAAAACAATAATTAAGCGGAAATGGTGCCATGCAATCGTTTACCAGTATGAGGTGTAGCGTAATATATAAGGTGTCCGAAAATGATTAGCAAAAAATTTAGAGATTCTCCTCATTTTTTCAGAATTTCAATGAGGCAGGGTGCCTTAATGTCAAAAAGCCTTAGCTGCCTTGGCCTTAAGGTTATTTCCTCAAACTTTTTTGTTTAATTGTTTTTTGCTCTTGAAAGCTCACAATAAAATATTTAAAATATACTCTCATAAATACCAAACGATGTTTTTAGTTTTAGTTAAGTAGTTAATAATAGTTGATATTTTTGGTTAGTTTCGGTAGCAGAACACTGCAAAAAAAATAAAAAACGTTAAACAAAAAAGTTTGGGGGCGTTTTCTTAAGGTCATAGGTAGCTAACGTTTTTTTTGGAATTGAAGGACTCGAGCAGAATCAGCTCTTAAATTTTGTACTTATTATTTCCGGATATCCTATATATTTTCGATATCCCATAAAAGCGAAAAACGAAATTTTGACAAAATTATGTCGCCATCTATGCGGAATTCGAATAACATATTCGATGACATTTCTATTCCGATCATGACACGATAAATATTTCATAGGCTTGTCTTTGTGCAGATTTTGGACCAACTTGACCAGTCCGACGATAAATATTTAGTTAGTCGATTCAACACGCGACTGAACATACAGATTTTTGGTCAATGTTTACTCGGCGTCATTAAATTAGTCACTGATATGGAATAGTATATTATGCAACAAGTGCGGTAAACGGCATTTGATTCACGAGTTTTTAATAAACGAGTTAAAAAGTTTACCGAACGTGTTGCATACTATACTTTTTCTACGACCGTCAGTTTTTGGGTCCATTATCGCAAAACAACACGAATACATTCACTGACATGACCGTCAGAATTGACAAACGTCAAAATTCAAAGCGTGGGAAATATCTCCGAAAA